AGTTGAAATTTGTTAATTTCAAATTTGTCCAAATCTTCTTGATAATTAATTGAAATTTCACTAATATTTACACAGTCAGATGCACGAACTGTAATTAAAAGCCCTATTAAAATATTTGCATACAGAAGAAAGGTTCGGGAATACAGAAATCTCAGATAAAGAAATATATTATTTATCATTTATTTGCAGAGAATCTTTCGCTCGAAACCCTAAATTAAAACGAAATACCAATAAATTGACATACAAGAGACACGAGTTATATTCGGCGATAAGAACAAATGTGCAAACCGCTTCGGGAATGTAAGCACATACGTGACGTAAATACAGGTAATTTAAACAACCGATTCGAATAATTTACCTTACATCAGGTACGATTCCTCCTTTGCATACCATTCTCGAAACAACAAATGAAACTTGGATTTCCACTCGATGAAAGGACTAACATTTTTCCACCTTCAATCATTGAATCATCTTTACGTAACGCGAAACTTTTCCTTTTTTACGCGATTCCACCAGCAAGGTCGCTAATTTTTAACAGACAATAACTCTTTGAAAAATACTCGATGCCTTTTTGCTAATATTCGTCCACTGGTGAAATTTCATCGATCATTATTAATTTCGATTACACAGGGTTTCGAGCTAGCGAAATTTTCGCCAGCTTGCAATAAATAAAAAAGAAAATCAACTGAAAAATTCATTGAGAAATTCCTCGGTCGCAACCACTTGTTGCTGACAGAAGAAAAATTGCGAAAAATAATTGCGAGGGAATGATAAATCTGAAAAAAAGAATAAAATAAAACAGTGCGGAATTATTTTGAAAATTTCATCGAAGGATGTTTCTGTTACTGATAAATTTAAGAAAATTTTTCCTTATCGTATCATTTTGATTAATTTGTAGATGTTTAGATAATTAATCAGTTATAAATAACGTTAATAACGCGTTTCACAAGAAATTATTATTTCGATTATTAACTGCCGTTCCACTTGAAGCTTGACATCATAAATTTTTTTACCAGTGAATTTATTTTGTAACATTCAGTAGCTACTGTTCTTTTTTTTTGTATTCGTGTCATGTCATACCGTAATCTTTCTGATGACGTTTCTACAAGTCTCGAAGAAGTTAATAGTTTCTTTCGTAATGATGAGTAACGACTTAAAAGAAAAGAATACAATTAGCTTTTGTTGCGGTAAAGAAATAAAAGTATCGATTGCAGTGTTTTTTCTTTTTCTTCAAGATAAAAGAATCTAAAGATTTGCAAGTCTTCTAAACTGCCAGCTAAACGAGAATAATAATTGTTAAGAGCTGCTGTCTTTGAAGTGAAAGAATAATAGGTTTGTCTTTTCTGTATTGAACAATTTTCCTTTCGTTATTGTTTGAAACGCCAGATAATAAAAATAAAGGAAACCGAAGAAGAATTCGAGTAACGAAGAGAAAATGCTGAAGATTTGGATGATAATTTGCGCCATTCCGGTGTTCTCCAATTATGTCCTTGGAAATCCTGTTTCCGCGAAGGAGGGACTCACCCTGAGGATCCTTCATACGAACGACATGCATTCAAGGTAAACTCTTTAAATTTTCTAATTCCAATTTTCATTAATTTAAAGGAATTCAGTGGAGAATGAATGACTCTTCGAGAAACATTTATTCTGCTAATCTATCATTTATCAAAACATTCTGAATAATCTTTATTAATTATACTCCTTGTTACTTCGTGCAAAAACAAAAGTTGATGAATTCTTGTCGCTAACAAATGTCCCACGATGTTTTAATCGACCACGATGCTTAACGATGTTTACGTAAGGATAATTAAAAAGAGAATAACGTGACAAGATTAATTACTCTACTCTGCTATCGTGTAAAAGTATCAGTTCCTATTCTTCTTTTTTTTTCCAAGTTTCTGTTGTTTAATTTAAATATCGAATAGGTTGGAGTGCAGCTAATGGTCGCAGAGTGAAACGTTAATTAAGAACAGGCTAAGGATAATTAACGCCGCTCAATCAGCGATTCAATGTTAATTTATATTCCCGATCGCTTATCACATCGCGTGGAAGAAGTATCTTTTCCAAATTGAAACGAATTTCCTGCCCTCTATAAATTACGTTCAACCTTTTCCTATCGTTTATCTTCTGTATTTCTCGTTTTCTTTTTATTTTTTTTTTTTTTTTTATGAATTTAACGTATTTTGCAATTCGATCAACGTTTCATGGCTTTCCGGCCCATTTTTATTCTCGTTTCTTATCCCGACCGATGATTAACGAGCCTCGGAAGTAAATTTAATTCAGGGCGGGTCGATAAATATGTAGGAGTTTGAAGAAAAACTCGTGATTATTGTGTATAACTTTGTAACGTTGAATAATCGTCATGGATATCGCTTTAAAATAAATTTTATTTATCATGAAAGAGAAATTATACTTAATTGTTTGAATAATTAGAAGGAAATTAAAATGAGCACCCTCTGAACGTTAAATACTGAATTGTCTACTGTTATCTAACCTAAATTTCCTGGTAATCCTTTGTATTACCTCTTAGTAATTATATAATACCATCTGTTACAGATTCGAGGAGACATCGCAGGTATCGGGTGTCTGTTCACCAAACGATTCAAAAGCAGGAAAATGTTACGGAGGATTCGCCAGAATAGCAACCCTGATACGCGAAGCACGAAAATCTCCAGTCCCCACTATCTTTCTGAATGCTGGGGATACTTATCAAGGATCTATTTGGTACAATGTGTACAAATGGAAAGTGGTAACCAAGTTCCTGAACCTGTTGGCTCCAAACGCAACGGTATATAAGACATTTATTTAACAAAATTTATTTATGTTAATAAGACATTTATTTATTTAACAAAATTCCCATATTCTATTTACATTTATCTTTTTTACATCTGGTACTTTTACCTATCAAGATAAACGAGGATGCTTCTGTAAAAATAAATTTTTCACAATGTCCTTTCGAATCTGCTAGTCATCTATTATAATGCGAATCTATTATAATACTCGTTGACATGGATGTCGCCGCAAGGCTTCTTCAACAATTCATTTAACTTGATGAGCTCACAGGATAACGTTGTATTCGGTATCTATAATTTCAGTACTGTAACTATGAAACAGTTTCTTTTGATCCTACCATTTCATATTTGCATGGTAAATCATCAAAATCCATAGAAATATCTTACTTTAATATTCGTCAAAACCTACCTTACCATCAGTATGTAAAATTCATCTGATTTGTGCAGAGTTTGGGCAACCACGAATTCGACGACGGTGTTGATGGTCTGATACCCTTCATTCAAAACTCCACGTTCCCTATACTAACCTCGAATCTGGACCTAAGCAAACAGCCGAATTTAGCTGCCACAAATTTATTGAACAGTACGGTACTCGTCGTGAACAATATAAAGATCGGTGTGATCGGTTATTTGACGCAAGAGACGACGTTAATCTCCAGATCGGAAGAGGTGATCTTCTTGGACGAAGTGGCGAGCGTCCGTAGAGAGGCGAAAGCGTTGAAAGAACAAGGCGTCAATATATTAATCGCTCTGGGACACTCTGGCTTCGAGGTGGACAAACGAATCGCCAGAGAAGTGGAGGACATCGATCTGGTGATCGGTGGACATACAAACACCTTCCTCTATAGCGGGAAACAGCCCGATTTGGAGGTTCCCGAGGGACCCTATCCAACGGTAGTAGAGCAGAAAAGCGGGAGGAAGGTATACGCGGTCCAAGCGTACGCGTATACCAAGTATATGGGAGATTTTACTGTGACCTTTGACACTAAGGGAGAAGTGACCAATATCAAAGGAAATCCTGTACTCGTCGACAGCAGTATCGAGGAGGTGAGTTTTCACGTTTTGCTTTTCCCGCTTTTTCTTTAAATCAAGTCCTGTCAACGTGTCGGTTTTAGCAATATTGGCGCCCTGGGCAAGATTATCATGGCGCCCATTACAATATATGTATATAGGTAAAAAACGCGTCAGGGAAGATGTAGACGTAAATGCCGCAGCATATGAGTATATATGTAATATAGCATATATGTAATATCACATATGAGTTTTAAAATTTACGTGTAATTAACATTTTCTGTCTAAATTCAAATTCTACGATCTTGTTACCTGTCTGCGCAATGTGATACGCGCATATAATCGACTAGCTACTTTCGCTTTCTATCGTTTACCTCTATCATTTCCTACTTTCCTGTTACTGGAGGTTTTCTTAGTGACAGAGGCACATGAATGAACGAAAGTTGCACGCGCGAACTCTTTCATAGTACTTTCTTGCATGCATGCGCTTCTACTACTAAAAGGTGCTGATATAATACGAGCACATAACTATATGGAATTAATAAATTATTTTCCTTACCTATCCTCCGTCCTAAAACCTCCTCTAAATATTCTATGATCCTATTGCCAAAAAACGAAAATTTGTAGAAACCAAATGCATGAGTCTAATAAATTAATTTATAATCTTCTGCAAGTTTCTATAATATTAATAATCTTCTTTTATTAACAATTTCTATTGATCAATTTTATGTAGGCAAAGGATGTTTTGGACGAATTGAAACAAATGAGAGGAGCCATTGATAATATCAGTCTAACGGTGGTTGGAAGAACTCGGGTTCTTCTTGAAGGAGATAGCAAAATATGCAGACGCGAGGAATGCAATCTGGGTAATCTAATCACGGATGCTATGATTGACTATAATGTTGGAGAATATGCAGACAAAAATGGTTGGACTGATGCGGCAATAGCTCTTCATAATGGCGGTAGCATCAGAACTTCTATCACCAGGGCAAATGATGACAAAATTACTATGGGAGATGTCCTTAGCGTATTACCTTTTCATAATACTATTATGAAAGTTTCAATGACTGGAGAACTCATTCTGTCCGTATTAGAATGGAGCGTTCAAAACTTGAAGATGGATACAACTGCAAATCTATTTGGTGCATTTACACAAGTTTCTGGACTTCAGGTATTTCATATTAAGAGAGAAAACCAACTGAAAATTTATTTATTTCTCATTTTTACAGGTAGTTTATGATTTGTCCAAACCAAAGAATTCGAGAGTAGTTTCAGTACAAGTACAGTGTGCATTCTGTAATATACCAGCATATAGTAAACTTCAAAAGAATGAAACTTATACTGTACTTCTACTTGATTTTATGAAAGACGGTGGTGACGGATATTATATGCTGAAAGATCTCAAGGCTCAACCCCTTGGTATGTTTATATAAATTTTTCAAAATATGTTTTCATAATAAACTCCTCGAGATAATTAATACGTGACAATATATTTTGTTAAAGGTGTTACTACAGCAGATGCACTTGTAGAATACTTGAAGAAACATAGCCCAGTCCATCCTGGCATTGAATGGAGGATCAGTCATGTAAATAGTAATGAAAATAATGATAAAAATAATGATAAAAATAATGATAAAAATAATGATAATAAGAATGGTTCTATCAACATGTATCGACCCGTCAGTTTGACGATTTTGTTATCAATAATCAGCTGTCTATTTGTAAGATAGATATAGTAGGATATACGATGAATAATCAGTCTTCAGTATTTAAATCTATAGATTTTATACAAAGAGTTTTTTATACATACTTTACCTTTGTCACTACCTCAAATTTAGTTATGAAAGAAAAATTTTAACTGTTAATGAATTAGAAACAAAAATAAAAAAACAAAACAAAGAAAGGAATTAACATGTCTTCACGTGGACACTTATCAAATCTGTTTCCACTTAAACAATAGACCCGTTTAATAATTACTAATATCTCAGTTACTGCGCAGTGAGGCTTTTGCACCGCGTTATATACTCGTTGAAACATTTGTAACAAGTCATCTATCATATCTTTGTTAAATACATTTCCTTTTTCCGCCATACGACGATATTTAGGATAATTTTGCAACGTGTTAAGAGATAGCGTGTTAGAAGTCCCAAGCGCCTCGTGAATTTTGGTACCATTGCATATAAGTGACCGTAGTTATCAAATATCTTGTAAAAATTAATTGTTTTACCAATAAAAATGAAACTCATCGTAAGTTATCGTTCGCAGTTATTTATTTTTTTTCCTTCTATCCCTGCAACTCCTACATCTGTGCATTCCCCACATCCCTGTACCGCTTCATATCCTACATCAGTTACATCCCCCTAACCCCTACATCATTTACATCTCGGCATCCCTCATATTCCGGTACCACACAGAAGACAATCGTACTAAATTTAGTTCCTTTTCTCGCCGCCAGAGGGCGCTGATCCGGCATCGAAAATTTAGTTCACATTTTTCCCGCCAGAGGGGCAAAAATCTTGCAAGATTTAGTTCCTTTTCTCGCCACCAGGTGGCGCTGATTCGACATCGAAAATTTAGTTCACATTTTTCCCGCCAGAGGGCCAAAAATCTTGCGAGGTTTCGTTCCTTTTCTTGCCACCAGGTGGCGTTGATTCGACATCGAAAATTTAGTTCGCATTTTGTCCGCCAGAGGGCCAAAAATCTTGCAAGGTCTAGTTCCTTTTCTCGCCACCAGGTGGCGCTGATTCGATATCGAAAATTTAGTTCACATTTTTCCCGCCAGAGGGCCAAAAATCTTGCAGGACTTAGTTCCTTTTCTCGCCACCAGATGGCGCTGAGTCGACATCGAAAATTTAGTTCACATTTTTCCCGCCAGAGGGCCAAAAATCTTGCGGGGTTTGGTTCATTTTCTTGCCACCAGGTGGCGCTGATTCGACATCGAAAATTTAGTTCGCATTTTTCCCGCTAGAGGGCCAAAAATTCAAAAACATGAGACCGGGATTGCGCGTTTGCAACAATATTGCGGTCTCACAAAGCTTTACTTACCTTTACTTACCTTTACTTACCTTTACTTACCTTTACTCATCTTTACTCGAACCAGTGGCCACAAATATATTTATTATAAGGTTTGCAGTGATACAAGAGATGGAAGGATGTAAGGGATGCAGGGTTGTAAGGGATGTAGGGATATGAAGGAAGCAGGGGTGTAAGGACTGTGAGAATATAAGGAATGCAAGGATGTATAGTATGCGGGGATATAATGGATGCAGAGATGTAAGAAATGTACGGATATAAAGAAAGCAGACGTAAGAAATGCGGAGATATAAAAAAACGTATGGATACAAGAAATGCAGGGACATGAGGGATGCAGTAATATAAATTGGAAGCATATTTATCTTTGATTGGTTGATGCGCACCTCTCGGCAGCCGGTATAAGACTGACGGGATTTTAATTCGCTCTAGTAAAACGGTTGACAACGGCGCCCAATCAGCCATGACGTTCCGCTTTACCACTGGCTATTTCAATCAGTGTCTTGAATTTGTGTCTGTAACATTATTAATCACGAGGTAATTTGAACGAGAACATTTACAAATAATAGAATTTTAGTGATAAAAGTTTTAAAACTTACAAATTAATTGTAAAAGAGAAACGTGTAATTATTAGTTTGTCAAAATTCAAATTCTGCGATCCAAATCCTGCGAGCGCAATGTGATACTTTGTTATCAATAATCAGCTGTCTATTTGTAAGATAGGAACAATAGGATATATGTTGAATAATCAATCTTCAGTATTTAAATCTACAGATTTTATACAAAGAGTTTTTTATACATACTTTAAATTTAAGGGTGAGTCAAAGGTAGTTATGAAACAAAAATTTTAACTGTTAATGAATTAGGAACAAAAATTTAAAAAAAACATAAAGAAAGAAATTAACATTTCATTACGTGAGCGCGTTTGATGCATATTATAGTTCAGGAATATCAAATCTGTTTCCATTTAAGCAATAGACGCGTTTAAAAATTTCTGATATCTCGGCCACTGCCCAGTGAGGCATTTGCAACGCGTTATATACTCGTTGAAACATCTGTAACAAATCATCTATCATATCATTGTCAAATACATTTCCTTCTTTCGCCATTTTAGCATATTTAGGATACTTTTGCAACGTGAGAAGACATTCTGTTCCTAAATTGAGTTTCTGCTAAATGGAGAAATATTATGGAAATTAATAGCAAATATAAGAAAGTCTTTCGGTACGTACTTAATAATTAATTAACTCACCCTAGATTTTAATTCATGAAATAATGGCCAGTTCTCCACACAAGCTACACAGTCGCAAGTGAAGCGATAGTGCTTTAGAAGTTCCATCTGCCTCATGGATTTTGGTACCATTGCATATAATTGACCATAGTTATCAAATATCTTGTAAAAGTTAATTGTTTTATCAATAAAAATGAAATTCATCGTAAATAATCGTTCACAAAATACGTTTTAGTACCTGTTCATCTTTTTTGATAGGATACATTGCATAAACAATTATATGCCCAGGCCTTGAAACTCTTAGAATGTTTGGGTTACAACTGTGATTAATCAGACTAAGAAATGGCATAAGTGCTACACCACGGTCTTCCGAAGCCATTTTATATTCTTCCGTAAACTATAAATATTAATTTAATTGTTAAATAATAAATATAATCTTTGCCTCAAATTTATTACATGTATATATTACAGAATGAGCATTAGGAGGGATCAACTGCAGATGCCTTAGTATAAGCCCCCCAACAAAGATAGCATCAGTGTTTTCTATTAATTCAGATAAATCTTTCATTGAACTTCCAAATATATCAGTACATGTTGCTAGGTAATACAATATGAAACTAGCTTCTGCAGATCTTGTAAAGAGATCTTGTAACAACTGTTTTTCAACGTTAGTAACCAAACTTAATACACTTCTGTACGCATCACTTTCAAATGTTCCATTCTTCGAAAAACCCTTTGTACGAGGATCTAAAATAATACATAATTATGACCTATAACTTTTTACAAAATTATCCCAGATACTTACTATCACAATTTTCAACTTCTTTTAGTTCTTCTTTTAAGTTCTGTATGTTATTACTCTCTCTTACTGCTTGAACAGCAAGTCTTAGGCTAAAGAGATAAATTTGTGTAAAATTCACTTTAAAAAGGTAAGGAAATACCTTACATTCTATGTCATGATATTTTTTCCAGTCCGAAGCTTTACATTCTTCTGAACAATACATAGCATATATACAATAGTTACAAGGTATATTAGCCCAGCATACTTCTAAGCAATTTGAACAATGCGTCTGTAAATTGTTAGGATTTAATATTAGCGAATAAGGTTTTTCTATAGCAATTATTTCACCAATATTTATGTCACGAGTAGCTATGATGTGTCTGCCATATTTTTCATCATATTTTATAGTTAACGCATCAGAGGCACAAGGAACTTCCATGTTGCATTGCTTTAATTCAGGCAAAGGAGATTGTTTTACAATACTTTGTTCTTTTGATGTATTTGATACTGATATTTTTTTGGCAGAAATGAACATATTATTTGTTTTTTTATGACTGACATCATCCAAGGACATGCTGTCCAGCCAATTTTGCGCTTCCTTAATAGCATCTTCTGTTTTGGGATGTTTTAATATACTTAAACACTCAATTTTTCTTAAATATAATTTACTTCTTAAATTATTTGGATATGGTAAGGCTAATGCTCTATCTATGTCTTCAATACATTCTTTGTATTTGTGTATTTTTTTTAGAACAGCAGATCTATTAGCATACGCCAATGCAAGTTGTTCAGATGTACAAGGTGCATACGCTATACTTTTTGTATACAGTTTTAGTGCATCAATACACAGAGAGCTTGTTAATGATTTTGACATATATTTTTTATTTCCTTGTTCTCTTAATTCTGTAGATTTGTTTGCATTTTTGCTATCTGGACATACTTGAGGAATCATACCATATTCTAGCATAAGTTTAAGAATAAATCTTACACGTTCCTCATTTGCGTGTAAAGTTTTGAATTCATTAAACACATCTTCATACTTATCTGCAGCACATAGTTTTACTTGTAATAAAGCCAACAATTCATACATTTTTTCGAGCATATATCAGTGACTAGAGATACAAAAAAATTGCAAAAAAACCCTTTTCTTACAGTTTTCCCCTTTTCATAGGGATGGCCACAGCCGACTCTAGTACTAGCCGTGCTGAAGTAAAAATGGCAACACCGCGGGAGTCTAGTCTGAATATATCAACACCTAGCCTACTCTATCTGCCTCCCGGACTCCCGGACTCTCAGCCAATCAACGTCGTCAGACTCCCGACTACTCTCTGGACTTCACATAACCTCTTTGGTTTCGTTCCAATAATTTCGCTTGTTTCAAGGTTTTTATTAACTTATATACACGTTCATCAATTCTTAAATGTTTCAATTTAACCCAAAGATGGTTTCATTTTGCTTCATACCTAAATTTTCTTGAAACCACTGTAAATATTTCAAATATCATGCTTCACAACACCAAACTACTTTGAGAGTACACAAAATATATATCACATTTATAACAATTTTATACTACCACATCACTTCTATTTGCCATAGTTGCAACGTTTATATATTGTTTATACATAATTAACACCAAATAGTGTATATTACTACAGCTTTTAATTAAAAAAGACGTTAATTACAATTCCGAGCACAGGACTCTGTTTTTGAAAATAGGACTCCCGATTGTCACGTGAGCGGTGTTGCCACGTTGTTCAGCGTGGCTAGTACTAGAGTCGGCTGTGGGATGGCGTACTCTAGGGACAAGCGGTCCCGCGGTCCCTGTTTACTTACCGAAAATTGTCGGCCATTCGCACCGACAAGGTTGGCATCACTGCCAATCCTTTTGGGCGCCATTTTCAAATTTACATTACGTCCTTTTCACATTTCGTTTCACATTCTGCTAGTTACATTTTCCTTTACATTTTGCCATACTTGTTTCACAATACTTTTAGCATTCACTCCTTTCGCTTGCGCCCCCTTTTAGTCGCCTCCTACGACAGGCAGGGGTTACCGTGGCTGTATTCTAAACCCCCCCAGCCACAGGGGGACAAAAAAGCTCTTGTAAATGTTGTGAAGAAATCCTACAAATCAGTTAGAAATTAAGTATTGAAGTATTGGCTGCACTGTTTTTTAGCACCATTAAGTTAGCAGATATAGCATATCAATAAAGAATAATATAACGCAATAGATAATGTAAATAATTAATGCTAGAAGATGGAAATATGATACGTATAATCCAAAGAAATTATTACGGTAACTAAATACTACTGTGCATTTCTGTTAATGCTAGGAATTTTTATGGAGGGGTATCACTGATGAGAAGTAATTCTTTCTTACCTTCGGTTAATATCTGTCTCATTCATGGCATTATGCTATACCAGTTTCCGCTTTGTGATCATGGACTACAGCAAGAGTACTGTTTCTGAAAAAAGATAGCTTTATCGAGATATTATTTTGCATATTAATCCCAATATTAAATTTATTTCCGTGTTTCTTAAAGGTAAGGAACTGTATCAATTAAAGTATGCAATTTGTAAGAAAAAAAAAATAGTGACATCGATGATCAATAACAAGGTGAATAAAATGGAAACGTACCGATTATCAAACAGCTTTATATTGTATGCTTCTTTCTGTTACGTATGACGTATCTTTTTTTTTCATTTAGAAAATAGACTGAAAGATTGACTCGATCTTATCATTTCTCATCGGATTTCAAGGTTGAAAAAATTTTTGCCTGTTAATACTACAATTTCGTAAATATCATGAATTCTACGAATACGTAGATAACAAGATTTATAATTAATTTTCAGTTTGTCGCTAACTATTATTTTACGTGAAACATAAAAGATCAAATACTAGGTAATCATATTTTTTTTATTACATTTTTAAAAAAGTGCATCACAGTTTCATAGATATAATATCTTAAAGAATCTAAAGATCATTCTGAGTAAAAATCTGTGAGCTATAATGGTGCAATATTTCTTATGAAGTCAGTATATAAAAATTCTATTGGATTCTGTATTGACATTCAATAATATTTTCTACATTAAAGTATTGTAGCCTTCAAATTGTATGCAACTTACACAGTGTTGTATAAATTTTTACCTATTTTGTTTGAGTTGTTTTTGGTTATAATGTATTTCATTTGTGAACAATAAAGAAGTAACAGAAATATTTAAATTATATATAAACATGGAAATAAAATTTCATTTTAATAGTATATATAATGTAATATGTTTTAGGAAAATTTCTTCTATTAAATGGACAAATGCATTAACGCATAATGGAAGGTCCTTTAGAAATAAAAGATTCTGCTGCGGGTGCAGAAGAATCTATTAAATCAGAAGCACCTATACAGAATCCGGATAGCAGCGATCGGAGCGATGGTGCAGTCTCACCTCCTCCGAATTGTAGCATTTGCTTGGGCAAGCTAGTGAACACATCGTTTACGGATAGTTGTCTCCATCAGTTCTGTTTCACTTGTTTGCTTCAGTGGTCTAAAATAAAGACAGAATGTCCATTATGTAAACAGACCTTCAAATCGATCATACACAATGTTAGATCAGAAGAAGATTACGATCAGTATCATGTACCTAGAGAATTGGCTACTTTGGATCTTAATTTTGAATTGGGTTACACTGGGGATGTAGGCACCCGTTTCCATTACAGGTATATATTACATACAAGATTTAATCTAAATTAACAGCAGCTTTTAAACGCGTAACATTTATAAATAATTTTGATCATTTTAGGACAACAATGACTGGACATCATCGACGTCCTCACGAAATAGTCCTTAATCCAGAACAGGTTGCAAGAAGGGAACAGTTGCCAAGTATAGCACCACGAGTTTCGATGGAAGAACGCTTACGCAGACGAGCAAATCCAACCGATTATCGTCGTACCATTTATAGGCACGGGATTTGGGCTACTGCGTTAAGAGATGTATTTGGCCGTTTTCGAGAATGTAGTGCTGAATTTTATCGGTAAGTTGTTCGTATATTTCTCCTATTACAAGTCAATTTTTCACAATGTTATTTTATTCTGTTTACAGGAGAGAGCCAAGAGAATTAAATCGACTTATACCATGGCTCAATCGCGAATTGCAAGTGTTACTTCTTAATAACAATCCTTCGCATGTTGCATATGTATTAAGAATTATATTGGAGGCTCTCACTGAATTTGATATTAGAAGCCCAGAATTTCGAGACTTAGTTCGTCCTCATTTCAATACATTCACCGATCACTTTGTACACGAACTACTTAATTATGCACGAACTAATTTTGATTTGGTTGGATACGACCAGTCTGTAACTTATTTACCACAAGGTATACAATATTTTTGTCTTATGTATCGTATATGACACTTTAATATTTGATGAAACTAATTATATTTATTATAGGATTGTCAAATGAATATCTATCAAATATTATATCTCCTGCATCTAGTAGTAATAGTAGTAGTTCTGATGATTCGGATGTTCGAGTTCTTGATGAAGCGATCGACCTTAGAATGAACACAGAGATGCCTAGTGTAGGACCCCATGGGATTAGTATTCCTGGTAAATTTTTTATTTCATCTTTAATCGCTTTACATTATAACTATAAAATATTTATTTAACTATATAGGCCCGAGTACTGTGGCACAAACGTTTCAATTAGATATTCCGTATAATGCGCCACCGGATATATTGACTATTTCCTCCGATTCTTCCGCGTCGGACGATTGCGAGGTAATTGGATACGTGAAACCTCGTCACGAAAGAACACCAGAAATTATAGAATTAGTATCATCCGATCCTGAAGAGATAAATGTTTCTCATGTACCAAATGACCATCCACAGTGAGTAGAAAACATCTTACTTTGAAATGAATTATAATCAAAGTGAAATTTATAAACTAACTTAATATTTTTACCAGACCCTCGTCTGCTTATTTCGAAGACAACACCCAACCCAGTACATCTCATGAGATCAAGAAAAGAGCATCTAGTACATCGTCTACTGAAAGTGAGACGGATTCGGACAATGATTATATTTGTAGAAGAAGCAGAAAGTATCAAAGCCGTGCTAAAAAGTCTAGAAGAAGTATAACCGCTAAGAAACGAAACCGATCGAGAGAAACGAGAGTTCGTAACCGAGCAAGTAGAAATTTATCAAGCTCCGGAGAAAGTGATTCTAGAAAGAAGGGAACCAGAAGAAATATTCAGCGCACGATGAAAAAAAGGATGATCAGTAGCAGCGATTCGAGTTCAAACGAAACCGAATCAAAAGCGATCGATGAGAAGAAGTCGAGGACCCCGCAGCGTTCTATGAAAAGCATGGTACGCGTTCGTAAAGATTTAATTAAGAAAGAAAATCGATATACGGACGACGAATCGTCCAGCAGTAATAGCAGCTCCGATTACGATGAAACTACTAAAAATACAAGATCTCGTACGATAAGGAGATCGAAAAGAAAATACGTAACCAGTTCGAGTGACTTTGAGCCTAGTAGAAACGAAAAAGTGACTAGAACTAGGGGTAAATCAAGACAAGTATCAGATACAAAGGAATCCCATCGAAAAGAATCAAGATACAAGGATAACAGACGATCCCCGTCGCGAAGTAGTAGTGCATCTTCCTACACGTCGCAACAAGGGAAAAAATTAAATTCGAAACGACGAGATTCACAACGAGATAGCGAAGACGATGATTCTTGGAAAAGCTACTGGGCTGTATCAAGGAAGGAACGTGAATTTAAATCTAAAAGCAGAGAAGGAGCTCTGAGTAGTACAGACTTTGACGACGATCATTATAGATCCCATAGTCAGTGCAGTAATTATTCAAGTAAATCGTACACACATAAAAAGAAATCAAAGCATAAAAATAGACATAAAAGCAAGAAGAAGAAACGATCAAACAGTAGAACACGTAGTTCATCTAATCGATCACGATTAACTCGACGACATCCCGTTTAAGAATTAACATGCCATGTTAAAACATTCCGATTCGAAAAATAATTCAACTAAAGGATTAAAACAAGAGAGAAGAAAACATGCATGTCCTGCAATAGTTGCATGGAGTTACATGAGATCTCAGGGTAAAATCAAATCAAAACCAATAAAAATAAAGATGCATTTGATCGATAAATCCGAATTCAGAAATGGCGTCATAGATAACGTCATTTAATTGAAAATCTCTAACGAGTTTTTTTTTTTTTTTAAATATTCATGTGTGCAGATACTGCAAACAACGATGAAGCATACTGAATTTGTTTCTGATTATTCAAATTTCTTTTAAGTCATAACAAAAGTAGATGAAAACTTTTAAATATAAGTGTACTGTATTAGACGGAATAGTAATGTTTCGTTCCTTTACGTTTTATATAAAAATGGCTTCCATTTGTTTTATAAACAAAATATATAGGTAAAAGCTGTGTATAAAAATACTGACATTAAGTAATAGATTCTATTTATGATTTTTTTACACAGTGTAAACTGATTGAGTAAAATAATAACCAATTTCATTGAAAATTATTATTCGAAATTTGAAATGATATGTGAAGGAAAGCTAAAACATGGTACATATAAAGGTAAATGTAGTATATATCTCACCATAACCTTCATAATTGTACAATAAAGTTGAGTATATTTCTTTACGATTTTAATTCCCAAAGAATGTTTGTAAATATACATGTATGTTAGGAACAAATAATTTAATTAAAAGTTTACATGGATGGTTTTTTGTAAAATACGCAGATTTAAGAATGTTAAGTCTCAATGATACATGTTACATGTAAATCGTAAAATGATTGATTTACAGTGGATAAATAGTAATTCTTCCATTTTTCTTTAAACACTACATACTTGTGGCGTGGATGTTAAATTTAATTCAAGACATTAATTCTGTATTATTTAAACAAATTTACTTTATTCGCGGATATTACATATTTCGATTTATATATAGCGTTACGCTGTTTTCTTTTTCTACATAAATTAAAAATTGAATTATGTAAAATGCACTCCTTCCGTGTTAAATGCGTGTAAAATGCTGAAATAAACATTTTATTACGTAACTATCATAAATAAGTACGCTACCATAAGTATTAGTAAAATATTTATTCACCTGATAAAATCGTCTATATCCATAGTTCTGGCACGTTTGTTTTCCGCCCCTACTTTTTGTAAAATTGTGCTCACTAATTCTTTGATATCAAATCCTTCAGGTACCGGCTACATAATGCATGAAAAAGAAAAAGCATTTTTAAATATCTAAAAGTATCCCCTTCTTACATTTAACACCTTTACAATTACCTTGTTATTCAAACTGCAATGAAGTTTATAATTTTTTTCTAACATCGTTAACACCGTAGTTTGTTTAAATGCTGCTGCAAGAGTTTTATTTTTTCTAACGAACGCGATTCGCGTTAAACCGTCCCATTCCTGATAATTAATCGGCGGTGGTGGATTACGTGGTTCTATCCTAACTACACTTGATTCTACTTTTGGTGGTGGCCTGAAGTTATTTTTTCCTACTTTCATCAGCAAATCTATCCGAGCCAACAACTGAGTATTTATACTTAGACGACAGTATAGTTTATCTCCTGGTTTTGCCACTAAACGTTCGGCAAATTCTCTTTGAAACATAAGTACTGCACATCTGTAGAAAATAATCTGCTAATCAAGTCCATTTCCTCTTGTGCCTCCTGTATTTCAGAAATTGGCATAAAATCTTTAAAACTACGTTACATTACTGTATTATGCTTGTAAAACATCCTATAATCTTTCAGTAACGCTAAATTGAATTTTTAAAATAAACTTACCTAAATAACGGTCTATGCAGAAGTAATTTAAATACTAATGGGGATGATATTTGGTATGGTATATTGGCAACGCACAAATCAAAGAACGGCAATTCTGTTTTCAAAACATCTCCTATCATAATTTGCAATTTTGACTGGTACGGAGTGCCCTGTACACGCTTTTGTAATTCAGCCACCATTCGAGTATCCACTTCACATGCTATTACTTTTTTAGCTTTGTCCAATAGTTTTACTGTCATATTACCTGTACCAGGACCTATTTCTAATATAACATCTGTCGGTCTAACTGCAGCCTTCTCAACCATACTCTGTATTACAAGTGGATTTTTCAAAATATGTTGTCCAATATCCTTATTAAACAGGATTCCTGTTTTGCAATGAAATTATAAGGAATAATACATATTATACGGTTCATTAGTTAATAAGTTTCTTGCATAGTTAAAAGAATAAATATATATATCTCATACCCTGTTTTGCAACTTCTTTGTGAACACGGGATGTTTTTTGACTACGTACTTTCGGCATTTTGTAATCGTTTTAAACAATATACTAAACACAACTAACAATTAATGTGTGACACAACAGTCACGTGCGGATAATAAAAATAACTAGGGACTTTGTCCGTTTTTACGCACCGAAAAGTTGTCGGCACTTGTCGGCTACGCGCGCCTACAAGGTTGGCATTGCTGCCAATCCTTTCCCGCGCCATTTTCAATTTACATTATTCTGCTTTTCGTGTTACATTTTTCCTTTGCTCGTTACATGTTCTTTCCTTACATTATTTCCATACTTTTTATTCTTCTTTTCTGTCTTCCCCTTGCGCCCCCTTTTAGTCGCCTCTTACGACAGGCAGGGGATACCGTGGCTGTATTCTAAACCCCCCAGCCACAGGGAGTGAAACGATTAATTTATTTCTACATTAACGCCTTCAGCTCCCTCTTACACAGTGCAGTAAAGTTAAGGTTTGGTGAAGTTTCAATTATTAAATGTTCTTTGTTAGCTGTCTATTTTTGCATTAAATAATTCTTTGCATTAAATTTATAGAATTTATACTACTAAAATATGGAACAAGCATATGTTAATTTCATACACTGTGGAATTAATTACCGATTACAGAAGCGATAACAGAGGCACTCAAAGAAACGCGTTTTCCTATCTTCTGTAATATCATGAACATAAATCTGTCATTTTGATAATTACACAGTTACAGGTTATAGGCAATGAATTTTATTGTAACATTATTTAAGTTTAAATAAAACATGATCATTTGGAAAGATTTGGAAATAATTGTCAGTGAATTGTATTAGTCAGTAAAGAAATTTCATTTTTTCTCCATGTAAGAAACATCGATTCGAACGGTGCGATTTAAATGAAAGTCTAACGAGTGTTTTATAATTTTTCAATATTAAGATACCTTGCGATGCAAAGGTTTAATCTTGCAATTCTAAATTGGTGACGTAATGGAGCTGAAAGTATGGGTGGAAGGCATACAACGTATTGTATGTGGTGTTACAGAAACCACTACATGTCAGGTTGAAATTTTTCCTTACATTTAAAGTTACATTAAGTTCTATAACACTTAACATTTCTAACAAGTAAATTGAATAACTTTATACGAAATATTATTTGTCTACAATGATTTGCGAAGCAATAATACAGTATAAACTTTCAGGATGTAGTATATGCTCTTGCTCATGCTACAGGACAAACCGGTAGATTTACTTTAGTAGAAAGGTGGCGAACTAACGAACGTCTCTTGGCTCCATACGAAAATCCTTTAAAGGTACCAATGCGATTGATTTCAAAATAAAATAATGTAGTACATATAATCAATATAATAATATAATTTCTTTCGTAAGATTCTAATGAAATGGGGAGAATATTCTTCAGAAGTTCAATTGATCCTAAGGCGCTCTACTGCAGAAAACAATAAGGCCTCTAGTTCGTTAGGAACCCGCTTAACTCATAGCGCAAGATCGAATGGTATAATAAGTTCTGCCTCTGAGAATGTCGCAACATCCAACAGCGGGCAAGATGATGCTAAGAATACCACAACTTCAAGTTCTGAATTTGATGATCTACAAGGATGTCTTGACAGAAATCGCGATATCAGGATGTCGTTAACATTTGGAGGATTGCATGGAAATGTCATAGAAAATAATACAGAAGTAAACAGAAGCATTTGAATTATGTCGTATATGTTAAAAATAAATTTTACATTATACTTATATATTTTAGATTCAAATGGAAAATGTTGCCATAGTTCAACCTACGCCACATTTAAAAAACAAGGAATTAAATATAAGAAAAAATATACAAAAGCCAGCTCAGTCTCCCACCTGTGCTAGCAGCAGTGAAAGTAACATACATTTATCACAGAAGAAAGTGCGTGAAGTTCCTCCATACAGGGATCCTCCGGGTCCGGGTTCACCACCTCTAAGATCTTTACCCCCCTACAGAGATCCTCCACCACCTAATTTAAATAGCCCTGGACGATCCCAATTTCAATCGGGTACAAATGTTGGAAGTCCTCATCTTCATAAAGAGGATCAACCATCATCATCTAGTAACTCTGTCAAACTAAAGAGAAACCTTATTCAGGTTCTACAAAGAATACATTTATATATATAATATAATGCGCATATAATATAACAGTACTGACATGTTTTTACACTTTTAAATCTCCTTTGTTTAGGAATTCCAGGACACGAAAGGACAAACTCAATCTATAAATCAACTATCTGGTCAGACTCAAAATATGGTCACTGTTGCTTATACTCAACGATATGTTGAACTTATCAGACTAGTCAATAAGCAACGTGATACTATAAATGCACAGCAAGCCGATCTTACTAAAGTATGAATTACTATAATTGTAACTGCGATATTAAATTAAAAACGTGAAATATACATTTAATTAATTACTTTCAGTTTGATGCTGAAATATTATATTGGGAAACTAAAAACAGAGAACAAATGCATCAGATGGACTTCATTTCACAGGAAGTGAGTCGTATGGAGTCCACAGGTCGTCTTATCGAAGAACAGGCATGTATTTTGTTATAAACATTACTGTTATAATAACGATAACATCTAATATTTTTAAAGTTAAAGGAACTAGCACATGTTGAAGAAGAAAGTGAAATAGTAAGGCAACAAGAGAAAACATTGAAATCGGAGATTACGTTGCTTAGATCAAAGCTTGCAAACTGTGAAACAGAGTTACTTCAATGTAAAAATAAAATTAGGTAAAACATTGGAATTCTTAATTTTTTTACACAATAAATAGAATGTAGGATCTGTATTGTATCTTTACGTTACAGATTAGTTATGGAAGAACTGGCTATAGAACAACACAATATAAATCGTGAAACGGACGAAAGACAATTAATGGAACGTAAAATTATAACTGAAGTTGAACATCTTCAAAATGAAGTAGAACAAGCCAAACGTTCAGCTGAATTAGCTTCTCAGTGCGCGGAATCACTGAAACTCGAGGTAGTAAGTTTGGAATCAGCAATTGTTGAGAAAAAATTGCAAGTGGAGCGTTTAGTAGCGGATATGAAAGAGGCTAATTTACAAAGTTTAGCCGTCGCTTGTCAAGACGAACAAGTAAAGTCATTACTTGAAGGTACTTAAATTTAAATCGAAGTAAAATTGTGAAAGTTTAACAATTTACAAATTTGCTTACATATATTTATAATCTAGGTGCCCACAAACCTGGTAGTACACGTAAAATGATAGGTTCACCGAGGCAATTAGAAACTGCTGTACCTACAAGTAAAAATCCCCACGGCGTTTGGGTATAAATATTTACTGTTCGATATATTTCGGTATATTGAAAATAATATTTTTCATACGGTAATCAATTAAACATTTCATATAGGATTATATGTGCAATTTTATATGCACGATTAGTAAGAACGACGTAAGTAAATGAAATATCGTACGCGAATACATATTATAATTGTTTTGTCCACCTGCCATATGATTTTCAGCAAATTTAGCTCTAAGTGTTGACTAGTAATTTTAAATATGAGTTATGTATATACAGGATAAAAAAAGAATATTCGGCAATATATATTTATCCAAAGTATTAAAATTACAAATCATGCAATGCACTTACATGATTTATGTATGACTTAAGAAAACGTACTTATAAATTCTTGTAGTTTTCTTGATATTATTCAAGATGAATTTATATATTTTCTATAATCAAAATAATTCTGTGACTCGAGCATTTACATTTTGGTGCACTATACAATTAAAATACCAACATAGTACATATACTATATTTATCTTGTAACATATCCTTGAAAGTATGTGATAACGAAGTCTGAAATATGTTATTGAAAACATTCTAGTGTACATTAATTGCATTTTTAAGTATTTAAGCCTTCCTTTTCAATCGTATTTCAACAATAGATTTTCCATCTATCAAAAGTAAATTTATCTTTTTGTATAAAAGATTCAGTTACATTCATTTATTCAAACAGTATATTTTGCTTTGTTATTTGTAACATGTAATATGTGGTAGTAACATTTTCTATTGTTTTATATATTCATTATTAGCATACATCATCAAAATGATGAGTGGTTTCGAGCTTTCATAGCCTAGATTGCTACTGTTCGAGGTTTTTAGCGAATAAACTCTTTCGAATATTCGATATTTTATCAAGAATACGTATTCGTTACTATGTCGAATCCTAAAACACTCGGTTTACGCCAGAAAATCTCGAACAGTAGTTAAAACGATGTCCACACACTGCCATTATTAGCAATAATTTTTTAAATATAATAATTATTTTACTTCGTAATTTCATTTTTATACAAAATGTATACACCTTTTAGTATATAATCATTTCATTGTCAATATTAAGATCTGTTTCTTATAATAATGTGTTTACCAAAGTGTTTTAATTTTGTGTTTAAAATAAGCATACATTATGTAATGGAATATACAAATAAAAATAAAAATTAATTAAATGTTATATATGCATTTGTTTATTCATTGATACCTATGGGTGGGTGTAAGTCAAAAAATTGGATACTGATTTATAGGAAAGTGAATATAAATTAAATACCTGTTTAAGAAATTTTTTTTAAATGATATAACGCGAAAATTTTTGTCCGCTTTCATTATTTACAACTAAGATAACTTTGATCGCTTTGTCTGCGGTGTAAATACGTTAATGGCACAACAAGACGACTGTCTTTACTTTTGTAATATTCGTTAAAGTCTAATCTTACACTCAACAATTGTAAAGAGACATCTTCAGCTGACGCAAGCATTATAAGAAACTTCTTTACTCTATCCTGAAAAAAAATAGACACACTATATGATAGGGGCTGAAAATGTCAGTTTAATTTCATTCAAAATAATTAACAACGTGAACGTTACTTGATAGGTCCTTGAAAGCAGTCTAAGTTGAATTGAAAGCGTATTTAAATACTTGGAAAATCCAGCTTGACGTTTAGCAATTTCTGCACTCTCTGTGTCTGAAATATCTAACTGATTCGACGACACGTAAGCTACATTTACTGAATAATTATCTTTTAATCGTGCCTCGTATTCTTGCGTAGCACGTGTAAGAAACGTTTCTTCAAGATTTTGTAAGTCCAATATCGGACCATAAACGGAGCGTAGATGATCCATTAGCTCCTATTAAAAACGTTAACACACCGAGTAAAAACATCTTAAATTTATTATAAAACTATGTAATACTTAGAATAACTACACATGTACACTTACTTACTTGGGATTTTTCATCAAGCAGTGTACCGCGTCTTACTGCATCTATGAAACGACTATGTGACGTAATTATATCATCTAAAGATGCTGCCTGTCCCAATTGTTTTGCAAATGCATCCCAAGAACATTCAATTACCTAACAATTTTTTAATCATTATATTATAAAATGAACAGAAAACGTAATGTATCAAAAAATAAAATTAAAATACTTGGAATAATTTATGTGAATTTTTAATCTTACTTCAAACAAGAAAAAATATTGCATTTGATGAACCAAGTGAACCATACTGCTCGTGATTAAATGTATATGAGTTTGAATGGATAATACTTCAGGCATTTTACTAAACATTTTGGCCGATGTTATTTGATGTTTCCAAATTGTAGATAGTATAGACTCCATCCTTTTAGCTCTCCACAAGGCGAAAAATACAGTTTGATATGTTTGTCTACACGGTTCTAAAATCTAAATAAATAATTTTTATTACATGAATAATTTCCAAAATCCGTAAAGGATATTTTTACATACCGTTCCAATAGGACCTCCTACATTATAATCAAGGATAAAAACATCCCAGCCTCTTTCATTCTCCGAGGGCGCTAACAACCTTACATCCAATCTCCTGTGTATATCTAAATCATCTAACTTTGTAGCAGTAGCTCTTATCCCTGTTTCCAAAATAGAAGATATATTATGTGGATATAAAGAACTAGCTGGTTTATCCAATTCTGGCCTAAAATATCAATTATATATATTTCTAATATTTAAACGGACATATCTTTAAATAAAATGCTTACTCTAATAAATGCATCAAATGTTGGATGAAGTGTCCTTGTCCTAGTAAAAGATAACCCTTAATTGCGTGCAAATGTTCCATTAGATGATACTGTTTTGTCAATACTTCTACTACTCTAGTTGAAGTATCCTTGTATGCTGTGTCCATCATTGTTTGCAACCGACCATCCGGATCCATATCGAAAAGAACATCAACTAAAAGAACAAAATAACTTGGTTAGAAAAATAGAAAGCTCTCGCTTTCATTAACATTCGAATACTTACCTTTATATTGCTCGCTAAAATTTTTAAACATTTCCGTATGTTTCCCTTGCCAAGGAGTAAAATCTTTGCATACCTCCCGCAAAAAGTTAATACTTTTCCCGGTTCCTAGAATCTTTTTCGCTTGCATTTTTGTGATAAAAGATGGCAACATGCTATTGCGAACTTGGTATTTCTCGTGCCACATTCTATCCCCGGTAATATCGGCACAAGTTTCAATGAAAAATTCTCTGTAAGGATCATCCAGTTCACCATCTGCGATCCATCTTATCAACATGTTGTACAAAGGATCGCAAACACTTTCCAATATCCTCTTAACTAATTTTTTCACACTAGCATCTCCATGGTTGCTGAATTCATATACCGCAGAAGCTAACGCACCACCTTTTTGCCCTTGGCAAGTTCTTACTATACTGGCCAGCCATTTTAAAGTTTCTAAAGGATCATACGCCCAGAGGTGTAAATGGGAGAGAGTAACTCTGTATAATCCTGGTTGAGTCTGAACTCTATTACACGTTTAAACACATTATCATTTACAACAAATTCATATAAATAATTACGTTAAATTTCATTTAATACCTGTTTACTTCTTCTTGAATGAGAGCTATAAATCTGTAATATTCGGATAATTCAGAATGCATCGCTGCGACGAAACTATCAGCCACCTGGCCGCTCGAAGCAGCCGACATTCTTTCTAATCCTTTTTGCACTATATTGTGTAAATATCCAAGTTCGCTCAATCTTAGAGTCGCTTGTTTACGTGGCCTATCAATACTGATCATTGGATCAATTTGAAAACCATAACTGGAATCCAATTTTAATATCTTTCCTTCTATACCCTGGAAGGAATATATCAGATCTTGTACTAATGCATCTTCTGAAATATACTCTTCTCCATATATTTTGTAAGAGCTTGTTAAATAATCTCTTGTACTTTTCTCTGTATTATTTATGGATATGATTTGCGAGGATGCACAGATTTCTGGTGTTTGCCCTGAAAGTAGTAATTAAAATATTAGATGCTTCGAGTAGAAAAATTGGAAGGTTGATAGAAGAAGCTTATATTATGGTATACCATAGGATGGTTTACAATGTGTTATTTACCACTGGTGGATGCAGTAGATGAACATGAACCTAATTTTAAATCAGGTACAGAGAATACTTTTTCTCTTAATTGTTCTCCTGGCTGGCACATATTCAATAGAAATATAAGAATCCGTGCTCTGTTCTTCAGTGGCTATAAATAAATATTAGTTTATATTATTCTTAATCATAAATTTTTATATAAAATTTAAACCATACCCCAGCTCTTAGTTCATTATACAATTTATCAAACTGTACTGCTTCGCATATTTGTAACTTTTCTTTTATCTGACTTGCTACAGTGATTTCATCTTCACGTAATGTTTCTACTCCTTGAGTGGATGACAGTAACCCAAGTGAAAAACGCATCCATTTTCGAATTATCTCTGAAATAATAATTTGAAATCAGTGTTGGTTAGGAGGAATTTCTTTTAATTACAGAAACAAACAGTAGTATTTACCTGGCTTTTGTTCTCCACAGAGTGAAATAATCATTTTTTGAACTAAATTACCTACAGTTTCTGCTTCTATCATGTTTGTATTTAAGTTTCTCCTAATTTATAAACAATTCAGTCTGCTTCTTGTCACCCTCAAATTAAGTTTGTATACAAACTATCAACGTTCAAATTATCATTGCCAGAAATAGGGCGAAAATGGCTGCATGACGAGAAGCGAATTACTTTGTAAGCTAAATATGAATCATTGAACTAAAACTATATCTAGTTTCATAAATTAACCATTCTCCCAGATAATTTGAAAATGAATAGTAGTCATTTGTTGTATTATTAATTGTATGTAAACGCTAATTAGAATTTAATTGCAAAGTTGAATCGCCTGTAAAAATTAGTTCCAAAAGAATAGCGCCACTGATCCACCTGGTTTCGGAAACTCGGTCGGTAAATTGTGGAGTAGTTTCCGCCATTTTTGTATAGATGGCGCAACGATCGAATCTTAGATTACTTTTTATAGGCGATTTATTTTAAATTCAAATTTAAATTTGAGAGGCAAACACTCTTCATTTTTTAATATCCAAAGACAGATTGATGCGCTTCAACGCGAAGCGGATAATTATATTCTTCGCCCTTATCCTAGCGATTTTATCGAGGATGTAATGTCAACCAGAAGAAGTCCCTACTGTAGGGCTAAGGTAATGTCACGTAGATCTGTGCATACTAAAAGGGCTTGTGCATTTCTGTTCTCTGTTCCTAGTAATTCCTATAGATCTAGTTTTACCCTACGCGGCCATTTTTACCCTACCTCTGGTAATGCTGCTACCGACGTCCGCCGCAGCGGCGATAGAGTCAACATCCGGCGACGCAGAGATGCGCACGTTTCGGCGCTCGCCGAGGGAAAAGGGACGCCGCGATCGTGACTTCGGGACATGAGAGCGACGATGAAGCCCGCTAGCCTGCACACCAGCACCTGAGGAGCACACTCGCTTCCAGCAGTACGTGCGACAACGGATTCGCCCGCGTCATTCGGGATTTACATAAGCTCACTTTTTCGTCCTAAATTTGATCATAAAACGATCGAGAGGCTACCCGTTCTACCAACGAGGTAACACACCTCTTCCTCTGAATCATGAATGGTTCTGTGATCCTCTTTTTCAAACAGAAATCATAAATAATTACAGTACGATCTTTCATTAATCAATCATCAAATCCTTCTATCCGATAGAAGTAATTCGTTTCAACGATCTTATGGATAGGTTGATTAGTAGTGCGACTTAATATATTTCAACTTATTCTTTTGTAAAGGTCTTTGATATTTTTATAGATTCTAATTTTTGACAATTATTTTTTTATATTTTCATTCAACCACTATGGAATTTCGTGTTCGATTAATTTATACGATATTATAGATTTTTATTAATCTATTCTATTTCATGTTTTATTGACTATAGTTTGAATCAACAAAATGTTTAGTAAGTTTAGTGTTTACTACAATTGCTTGGTTGTTATTACTATTTTTGTTTAGACAGAGTTCAGTTCAATATTTACATAATAAATTTAACCCATGCATTGAATTTATTTTTAAGTATAGAGCTGTTATTTTTATTAATTATTATTAATAATCTAGTTATCATTATTTTTGTCAAGAAGAATTGTAAAGTATGTATTCTTATTTTGTAGTAGTATTGTAATAGAAGAATATTATTAAAAACAGTCTATGAATTAATATTACAAAGAAGATATTAGATTTGCATTGCTGCATTAAAGACCATTATCTAATGATTATTAAAATTGTTTTTTGATCAAATTTTAGGTTATAGAATTACTCATTCCTTGATTGTTAGTGTGGGTACACTACCAGTACTAGTAAGAATATTCTTTACTCGTGTACCTTGTTCCAAGAGGTTCTCGACGTCCATAAGCAAGGACACGAGGTTTGTTCTCTTATTTAAATTAATTATATATTATTTATGTTGAATAAATATATTGCTAAGACTCACATTGTTTGTTGTTGTTCTTCCTCTTAAATGGCAGTGTTTACTTTGTAATAAAATTTCAATTATTTCAGAGCCATGTCATCAGGCGCAGGTTCCAGTGGAACTGGCCGGGGGCGTGGTTCATCGCTGGCAGACAATAAGCCAGAGAGCAAAGAAGCAAAGCCAAATCCAAAGATGTCAAAAGCTTTAGGAACATCTGCCAAAAGGTAGCACATCCATCCTCCAAAATTAAACAGTGCCATGGAGACTCGTGATCAGTCTAAAACTAATCTTCTTGTCGCAGGATACAAAAAGAATTGGCGGAAATCACATTAGACCCACCGCCAAATTGCAGGTTTGCCTTTTTTCTATCATTTTACTGTCGAGGGTACGTCGAGTCAAGTTACGTTTATTTCCCATTTCTTTGAACTTGAAAATAATTTACATAATTTTTATTATAGTGCAGGACCTAAAGGTGATAATTTATATGAATGGGTATCAACAATACTTGGACCTCCTGGTTCAGTTTACGAGGGAGGAGTATTCTTCTTGGATATACACTTTTCTCCAGAATATCCTTTTAAACCTCCAAAGGTATATTAATCGTACCGGTAGTCCGTAGCGATTACGGGGTGCGTACGAAGGATTATGTACAATTAATTGTTAACATAATGTTTCTTATATTTTTAGGTCACATTCCGAACGCGTATCTATCATTGCAATATAAATAGTCAAGGTGTAATTTGCCTAGATATATTAAAGGACAATTGGTCTCCCGCGTTGACCATTTCCAAGGTTTTATTGTCTATCTGTTCCCTCTTAACAGACTGTAATCCAGGTAAAGTTCAATCTAATCATTCGGTTAATACAAACATAGAATATAACTTATCGCATAGGATATGAAACATAACAGATTAATTATAATATTTCAGCGGATCCTTTAGTAGGAAGTATAGCAACGCAGTATCTACAGAACAGAGAGGAACATGATCGTATAGCACGGCTTTGGACAAAGCGTTATGCTACATGAACGATTTGTCAAAACAGTTATCTCCGTTCTCTCAAATTGAGGAACGGATACTTAAGGGAGCCTGTTTATCTATATTAAAGTTTTGATTATTCGAACTGATCAATTATATTTAATGAATTAATCAAAGTTAGTGAAATAATTGTAGTGAAATTAATTATAATCAATCAGAGATAATCGCGTTTTTCTCGATTATTCGAACGTTATTTTTGATACATTGAAAGTTCTACAAGTTATAGTTTACTTAAAATTATTTATTGTACTTTTATTATCATCGATAGAAGTTAAGTGAATTAAAGAAAAAAAAAATGATATTTAATCTGTCGATAATATTTTTAAACATAGGATGAAAATTTATAAAAGGTAAATAAAATTTGTAAGAAATTAAATTAATCGGTAATTTATTTAAGTGTTAGTATTTTACTAATGAAAACGAATACTCGGTTATTCGAACAAATTTCCCAAAAAAGAATTTAATAATATATTGAATTCTCGTCTATTTAATTTGTGTCTCTTTACGAATAATAATTATTTGATAAATTGATCATTCGAATAATCATACTTTTGACTCTTCGCACCTTCGACAATTTATCGTCTGTATATGTATGTCGATCGAAGGATTGCTTTAAATGAAAGACTCTTCGAGATCGTCGATTCGATCATTGTGATGTGCTTTTATATTGAGTATGTAAATGTGCCTAAGATGAATGAATGTGTGTGTATGTGCAACCAATACTCTCTTTTTCACCTTACAACTCTTGAGGTAAAATTCATATCTTCGAGACTGTATTTTTATGAATATATTTCATTTTCAGTATAGTAAAAAGTATGCATCCACATTTGAGTTGCTAAATAAAATGTAATTTCTTTTAAACAACGAATTATATGTTTAGTGTTAACGTTAGTAACTTGTATGAGTAGTATATTCAACTGGAAAAAAAAGTAATATTTTTTATAGTGTATTCAAAGAAAAGTACAGCCTAAAGTCCTAAAGTTTTCTAAATAAAAATTGTTATGCAGTGTCTTCCAATAACGTAAATAATAATTTTTTAATTGTAATTAATTGAATACTTAAATTTGGTTCTTTTCAAAAGTGTTCCTCAAGAGTGAAAGAGTGAAAGCGAGAGTTTTCCGTTCTTTTCTTTTGTCCTTTGCTTGTTTTGTTCATCTGCTCGTTTTAAGAATTTGCGATGAGATAGTATTTAAAATGGTACGTCCATTGGTAGTACCAAATAATATTGATAGGTTAGGCAATATTATGAACAATACGAATAACCCGACTTGTAATTAAGCTGGTAGTTATCAGAAGGGGCCCTACAAATTTTTCAATTCACTATTTTGCATAAAATACGAAACTTGAAACGATTTCGTTCTATCAAAATAAGACAGAAACTTACTCTGCTCGAATGCAAACATTATCGTACTTATATTTATTCATGGAGTATTAAATTTTTACAAATCTAACATTAAATGATAAATGAGTGGCGATTGCAATTACTTAAATATAATGCTTAACTAAGTTCATAAAATTGAACTTTTAATAATTTGAAAATTTCTTTTTTTAACAATATGATCGGCCCCCGTAAAATTTAAATCGTCGTAATTGTAAATAGACATAATTTTCTGTATATTAATGATAAATTGCAAATTAGAGTTTTCACCAGATTTTTGTCTATCATATTAATGAAATTACTATTAAACAATGGTATTATCTAAAGACTATATAAAATTGTGTTCTTTTTAAATATGAATTGATGAAAACAAATTGATTATTCAAATTGTAAAATAAACGTTTTATGTCGACTAATTATTCGGATAATTTTAATAGACTACAAAATACATAATAATAATAATAATAATTGTTCCTTTTACAGAACAAATTTGTAGAAAAAAAAATGTTTATCGATGAATGTCACAGTGTTATATATCGCAAATAGTTATGAATGATAGAATTTAAAATAATTAAAAATATCTAAAAAGCAGAAAATTCACTATTTCAGTTAATTAATTATTGTACAGGTCATAAAAGCGCGAAAAGATTTCACTTTTATTTGATTGGAATTGCTGTTGAGATTCTTGTAAATATATTCTGCGAGGTTCTTGAAAGAAAATGATATACAAATCTTTTGGACCCCTAAAACTGTATATAGATTGCACGTAGAATTTGCTCTTTTGTAATTAAACGTTAACAAACATTTTTAACGTAACGTATTCCATCTAAGATATTATATAAAAGAAAGTGAAATGATTCTTTCGATCAATAAGAAAAACAAAAAGTTAATATTTTAATAATTTTCTAAGTATTCTAAGTTGAAATAACTATGAATCTTTGTAAACTAGGGATTCTGTAAAAATTTCAAGACTGTATTTAATGTATGTTTGGATGTTTGGAAATTTTAACAATACTTAAAAAGGGTTTTTAAGACGAACGTATTCAACCCCTACTATCTCCTGCGAATTTTTCTTTTAAGTATTTTTGTTCTTCACAAATAGTTTATAAGAAGCTACAAAAGAGCATCCTATATAAGTAATGAATGTTAGTCTGCTAATCTTATAAGTGAATACAAAATAAAATAAAAGAAAAAACTGATTACATAGAATTTTGTACCAATTTTCTTCTTTCATTCTAATTTCCTTGGAACAAATTAATAATAGTTTAAAGAATTAATTCTAGTTTTCAGATGAAAACCTATAGGTTCCTGTAAAATTAAGAAAATAGTTTTAGGATTACATGAACTTTATGTTTACTTAACATACTTTATTAATATAGATAAAAACTATACGAACAAGATGTGCTAAAGTGATTGGCTCCTAAAGAATGTTAGTAATATATTAATTAATCAATTCATTCAATTACAAGTAGAAAAATATCGTAAGCGACTAAATGTCATAAAAAGCAATCGTTTACTTCTCATTTAATACTGATACCTCATTTTGTTTCTACTACATTATTATCAGTCTTTCTTTTTCCTTTGTTAGCCAATCATTGAATATACCTAAAATATATTTTGAATACAAATTTTCGTTTCATTACGATTTACAATTTCTTTTTTGCTTTTAAAGAAATTACATTAATTAGTATGTTACCATTAAATGAGAATTCGTTTTTTAATCGAGTATTAAAGTTTTATGATTTAACATGTAATATGTCACTATGTGTAACTTCTAATATAATTATTTAATATTAAATGCCTATACATCGAAGTTACTTTAACATGGATGTCCTAATGTATATATTTATGCAATTTAAGGCTACAAATTAAAACATTGTTATATAAATTCTTAAACAGAACAAAAAAAGATTACAATCCAATAAATAAAATATTAATAAAAATAGAATAAAAAACTTCATAACTCAAGAACGAACAAACAACTGAGAGAAAGAAAAAATGATTAATAATATAAGATTATTACATACTGAATTGTTAGCTTAAAGGAGCGAACATTTGTAAGTGCTTCGTTTTTTAATTAAAATAATAATTATTTTCATTGATTATTCTGGTCGATGTTAATATGTTAATTAATGATTCAAATACATTGTAGAACATTAGGCACACCTTAATGTTTCAGTATTACCTATTGAGAAGTATATACTAATTCTCTCCCTTTGTGATGTTTCATTACTTAAACACTATTGAAACCTCGCGTATTTAAGTTACCAATTGATCAAATAATTAATTGTTTCTCACGTTTTGACTTTATCCCTTTTTTTGTCTAATATCAAAATATGCGAGATTTCAAATAAAGAAGAAACAGAATTGCAATTATGATTACAATAATTACAATAAAATTCGATAAATCGACGCAATGCCATAAGTTTGTAATTTTATTTCGCAAAGCTTGTAATACTTTTGGAAGCTATTCTGCGTGAACGATAAAAAAAAATTTGTCGCCGCAAAATTTTTTTCTTTGTCCTTTATGCCAGATTGTTGAATTTTATTTTTTTTTATTTTCATCAAAGAAATTAGAATTTTGGTCCCAACATAATTACTTTACTTAAAGTCACAATATAATGTAACTATCAATGAAAGTATATAATACTGTTAAGTTTCATATATCTTTTTGTTTTCTTTTTCTTTGTTATATACTTTTATCTCTAGGTTTCGAATAATTTTGCAAAATGCAAAAATAATTCTCTTTTTGTTAACACTAAAATTATACAAACTACAGCTATACAAAAGAGCATAGTTATTTCGAATACAATTTGTAAAATTGCTTAAAAATACACTATGATAGATGTGCTGGTTTGTAAATTTTTTTTCGTTTCTTTTTTAAAAGAGATCATTAATAATAGAAACATTTGTTGTGTATATACGTGAAGCTGGAAAAAATATCTCTAACATTAAACAATTATATTATATAACAAATTTTGTTAATGTCACAATACAAAATTTAAAAAACAATTTTTCTTTTTAACAAGTCAAGGCAAGGCAAAGGCCTTCTAGACTGGGACACATGTAAAAATCAAACGTGTATATTGTTCTAATCTCTTTTTCAAACATTCTTATGCCATGAGCTTAAATTTCTCATTGTAACATAGTCTCTAAGAAACAGAAGTTTGGTTTCAACCATTTGGCAGATAATGGCAGTACATTGAATTATATTCTCCAATACTCTGATTTCTTCTTAAACTAGACTGCGGATGAATACTCGTTAGTTTATGGCCAAGTTCTAAGTAAATGGTCTTGCGACGACTCTAGAATTATTCGCTTAATGAATGCACGACGAATAATATTTTATAATGCCTCCTAATGGGTGTCGAATCAGTGCGCTGCAGTTTCGCTGGAATTAGAAATTAATTAAGTCACCTGTGACAACACATCGATTCTAATAGATTACATTGAATGCCTTTTCGTGGCGAAGCGAGAGGTGCACGATTTATGTTTTCCAAAAATAAGGAACTTTAATAATATAATACTTCTTTCAATTAATACTTGTTAATCTTGTCGACATTAAAAAGAAAGACAACGAAACGATGCAAATTTCTAAAGTCCGTATCATGGAAAGCATAAATATTAAAATTATGTTTATAAAGAATCGTACAGCATTTGTGTTAATTGTACACAGTTGTTTATTAATAGAATTAAATTCTTATGGGTGCAAAGAACGTACTGCTCCATCTAATACATCCAACTGCTGTCTTGAAAATTTGTTAATATACAACTGTGCAATCGTATCGTATTGTTGTTTACTGCTTATAATAAATAATTTATTATGTCAACATTATGTAAACTTTATATGAACAATGGAACACCATTTTAATTCTTAGATAAATAGATATCTTTTTAAATCATTTTTTTCTGTGATCATTATTTATCTTCCTGTTTTAGATACAATGATTTAATCAAGTAAATAGTATTGCAGGAAGAAAGATATTTAATCTCAACCGATCGAATATTCAATTGTTCGGTTCGTAAGATTCAAATTGTCGTTCGAGACATAAAAAATCGAGTGAATAGAAATTAAAGAAAGTAATTAGAAACTATAAATATGCTTATTTTGTACGATGATTAAACCATAGTACCTTTTCAATATATTATTTTCTTGTTTTTTAATTAAAGATTATATATTATTTTTAATATTATCTTTGTTTGGTATTTTTTAAATTTTGTTTATAGCTTAAAATAGGTAATAAATTAAAAAAATACCATACAAAGTGTGAAAAGAAAAGTTATTACATGTACTTTTAACAGAATTATATGAAAGCTAAATATATTTGCTTCGTACCTTTAACAATTATGGTAATCTTTAATGTAAGATTAGTAAAATATTAAATACTATATATGGATATTTCAGATCATGTTCCACGATAAAATTATGTGTAACTAATAACGAAAAGCATATTAATATTCGTGTATCCAACTTTGAGTTCTTAACATACATCTGTTTTTGGTTTATGGTTTTTATATGCCTGCACACACTTTATAAACAAAGTATAACAATTTTTTCTTTTCCACTGATATAGAATAAAAGCAATCAGTCTTTAAAAAACAGTCATAAAAACATTTTACTGCACAAGTCTTTGTTTCAATTGACATAAAAACTATGAATATTGAAACAGAATAATTAAGAGAAAATCCAAGGTGAAAATTATGATACTACTAACATTATCACCATTACTAATATCATAATAATAGTAATGACAGTAGTGGAAGCAGTAACGGTAGCAGTAGTAACAGTAATAGCAACATTAACAATAGTAATAATAATAACAAAATTGAACGTGATTATTTACACATACATAATAAAGTATAAGATCGTGTTTAATTGCGTTGATAATATCATCAATGATGAAAATATTAATTGATAATTTTATACAAAAGTAAATTTTTGTATGTTTTGTGCAGCATAATAAACAGACATATAAATGTGCAATTTGTGCAATGTTTAATTACTTAAAGAAAAAATATAAGAGCTGATGCATGAATATGTGAAAGAGAAAGGAAAAGAGCGTATTTTTGAGTCTCAGTGCAATTTTTAGACATTAAAATTGTAGTTATCTGTCTGCTTACACAGTCTCGTACTCGCGGCGGATTGAACGAGCTAAACAGCAAGCAAAGATTACTCCGATTAACTGAAATAAAAGAATATTATTATATTTTACGAGTTAAAACAAATTTAACAAGACTTCAGGGTCGCGTTCACTCCTAGGCCCGGAAAGCTCTAGACGCAACGATCCTGTAAAAGATTCAAACGTTACCTGAATAATAGCAATACCAATGCCAACACCACCCAAAATCAAAGCATTGTTTTCAATAGCACTCTGAAGATTGTTCATACAACCATGTGTATATACATGAACTGAATTTGAATCACATTTATCCCCGTCTGGTATCTCTTTACAACAGGAATTTGGTACAATATTTTCTGAGAATCCCACACGAGCCCAATCAGTTGCATCGTTCATTCCACAGCATTTTAACTAAAAATTAATAATTTATTTAAACTTCAAGCTTTGTTAGAATGATATTATATACACTTACATCATGTTGCATGATATCCCAAGATCTATGGACATCATCATTGGATAAATATTCTCCCATAGTGATATTCAATCGATTTTCTACCATCTTGTGAACATCTCCTTGCATCATATATCCGGCAATACCAGCACCAAGTTCCAGTGCAAAGATTAAAAGAAGCATTACAGAGAACTACATAGAAAACAAACAAAGAAATCTAGATTTTAGCTATCCTTTAAATCACAGTTGATACAATTAAAAATATATTTTATTTGAAATAATAAATGCTAGAATATTAACTGAGCATTACCGTTAATATCATACAATGATTCTCTTTAACAGCACCGCAGCAACCAAAGAATGATACAATAAATACAACAGCGCCTACTGTTATCATTAATACTGGTGCTGCGAAGAACCAACTGTCCATAAAATTATTGTAGCCACTGTAAACCACAAGAATCACAGTACCAACTGCGATAAATACGATTCCAGTTATCTGTAATAAAAAAAATTTAACAAATTAATGATTTATATTTGACATTATGGAAATTACAGGATTTATGGAACATACATGTGTATACAAATTTTATTAAAAACATTTCAATACAAGTTTGAACGCAAGATTATTAGAATAACAATTATGTAATTATATAGAAATATTAGGTGCCCTAAATAGTTCCGTCATGTTAATAAGTGACCTAATATTGTTTTATTTTTACGACAAAAAAAGAGCGGAGCATATGCGGCGATTCCCTGGCGTGCTTTCGCGTGTTTGATCATGTTTGATCGTATGCGAGTTCATACGGTATATCTATAACTGTCTTCCCACTCTGTATGCCTTTCTAGGACCATGCTATGTATATACGTTTCCGTACGGTCTCCTAATCTTTTTTTCAATAGCATTCTTTAATTTACTCTTTAAAATTCTCTTTACAAGTAATAAAGAAAGTACATACAAAACGGTAAAGTATAAAACTTTACCGTGCGGGGAAAATCACACGAAATTTCTGGGGTGTCCAATAACTTGACAATAGAATAAAGAAAAGAAAATGTCAAATTTTCAAAAAAAGAGCATGACATCTTATCAATTTGAGAAATACCTATAAGTAACAATCAAACGATAGATACAATCAATTTTTAATTACATTTGTACGATAACATATTAAAAATATAAATGAAATATTTGCTATAATTAAATATATTTGACTAATATTTCTCTTTGAATTCGTTTAAAGTAACAATTAACGAATCTGTGTCAAATAATATAAAAATAAAGCAACATCAATCTATAGAAGAATAAATACAACATGGAGAACTCACCGCAAATATCAAGTTGAAAAGAAAAGTTAGATATTTAACGCAAGCCATTCCACCGGACACCATTTTGTTATATTCACTGTTAAACTGTCGTCGAAAGAAATACGACTGACCACAGAACTTGTCAAAATACCAGCACAAGAAAACAGAACGAGAGCTATATACGTCGTTTACAGATATTATGTTGAAGCAATGGATAACAGGTCAAGCGCACCTCAATAGCTCACTGAAGAATAGCCGTATTTTCATCAGCCCACCCTGGCTGACTTGAATGCGCGCGCACCTTCCCAATAATTTACTCATAATCAACTACGTTTATCATAGAACCATAGCTTTCCAATTTTAACATTTTAATCCATATATCTCAATCTATGGACATATCAAATTAATTAAATCCAAAAGATTCAATTTAAGCGTAGCAATAATTATTACAGAAAAGTAATAATACGGCCCTGAGCATGCACAATGCAACATCGTTTATCGACTTTACATCTTTTGCGTTGCACCGAATAACGGTACATACAGTTTTACTATCGATTACTAAATTTATATTATCATAACAATCAAAATCTTACATTTGTTAAAACACTAAAAAAAATATGTTCTTTCATATTTGACTTTGTAACAAATTATTATTACACAGAATTAACTTTTTCAAATAACATAACAAAACTATGGACTAAAATTTTATAAAATGCTTTAATTCTAAAATGGGACGCAGGAAAACGTAAAAGATTCTAGTTGTAATGCAATGCACGTTGGTAGGTCTATCCTTATAATCTCTTAACATTGATTCCGTGCATTATAATAGGGACGATGCAATGCATGTCCCCTGTTCCAGTTCTAAACGACGCTTACCTTATGATTATTATCGATTTAAATTTTAGTTTTTCTCTGTCCTTTTAGTTTTCCTCTTTCCCACTAACCATACTTATTATTTAGAACCATTCGCAAACTAATAATTTGCATTATAATTACTTAAAAATTAATACAGATGTATAAAAGTATAAATTAGATTGTGTTTGTTATTTGTTGATAATTTTAATTTCTACAATATAAGGAGAAAAATGATCCGAGTGATTGAATTATCATTTTAAAAATGAATTACTTAAACATCCAATTGATGCAACCTATATTTGAATCAGAAGAAGCTATTTAATTTTGCATTGTTTTAATAAACAATGAAAGATTCAATCTATCATCAACGAAATAAAAGAAAAATATCAAATGTTTTATGATACACATACAAATTTGAATTTAAATGATGAAGTGCATGCAGCTAAAAAAAATATGTCGACATGCTATTTCATATTTCTTTAAACAATTAGCTTTACTTTCAAAATTTCTCTTACATAATTACAAACTCAACTATACAACGTTTAAAAATTTGAATGAGGGAAGGCAGAATTAGGATAAAAAATAAATTAAAAAGGATTGCGGTTGGTAACCTTTGAAGTTTCGCAACCTTGGTTAAGAGCATTATGGTTGCGCATGCGCACGAACACGCAGCCACGCGATAACAGTCTAAAAGTAGTGAATTGTCGTTATGTTCTTGGCCGGTTTGTGCGCTTTTTTTTATTGTTAAAAATCCGGAGAAAAACATAACGTGTCTATAAATTTTTATTTATTACGATCAACGAACAATATTTTACTTTGTCAGTGATAAAAGAAAATGGTTAACACTATGAAACTATCAATTGGTTCGCGATGTGTCAAATATCTCATGTTTATCTTCAATCTGCTCTTCGTTGTAAGTAATTTTTTATCTTTGTCATAATTATTACACGGATGGTGTAAATACAATTAGCGTATTTTTTGCAGATAGTAATTTTTTTAATTCCTAACATATGTAGTAAAGTTTAACGTCATAGATACATTGATACAAGAAAAATGATAAATTTGTGAATTTAAATATCCTTTGATCGAAGGATCGTGAAGTACTTCAGAATGTTCTTTGTATTTCAAATGTTTCCATATAATTACTGATATATTATAATTTTCCTCCCTCTTTTATTTTCACTGATGACTCATAATAAATAATATCGATCTAGATTTATTAACCTCTATATTAATTTTGCTAACCTCTTTATAACCTAAAGACATTATTGATATAAATATTAATATAGATCCTTACGGATGCTGTGAGGATAATTTAAATGCAATCTGGATTGAAATTTAGAATGAAATATAAAATTAATAACGTATAATTGTTTGTCATTGGGAAATACATAATCTGTTTTCTTCTAGATCATCTTATGCGTCATAAAACATCCGATATATCGATGAACGTTATATGCACATATTATTTGCGTCTTGTTTTTATATTGTTACACTAGTATTCTTACGTAGTAAATATATTACAAATTTCTCTAAAATGAATTAATAACTTCAGAGAAGTTTAAATACGTATAAATATGTATGCATAAAAATGATAAATTCCTGTTAATAATATTCTTTTTTCACGTTTATTTTGGTTAAAAAGTATGTAATATTCATTGATATGGTATCCCCTAAGTGCAGTACATAAAGATAAAATACTATAATGGAATAAAAGAAGGAACGTAAAGTTTCCGCTGTTACGTAGTAATATTTGTAACATATTTTCATTGCGTAACAAATACAAGTATTTTAATAATATATTTTATGAACTTTTATGAATATGCAAACCCTTTTTTTACATTATTTAAAAGAAAAAAAATTTTCGCTGCGGACAGGATTCGAACCTGCGCGGGTAGAACCCAATGGATTTCAAGTCCATCTCCTTAACCGCTCGGACACCGCAGCAGTTGAAAATTCACTTCTTTTAAAGAACATATAGCGCTTGTGTAATTGAAATAAATAAATAATAACATTCATACACTATATGCTATTGTTATTGCAGTTATTTTCCACAATATGCAAAGCAATATTTTGAACAAAAAGATACACGATACTTGATATTTAATAATTTGAATGAATTATTCAAAAATAATTTTTAATTTCATTTCCTATCAGAATAAAACAAATAATTATGTTACTAGGTGTATCGTTTAAAGTATTTGCATTTTTGTAAACGATGGCTTCATTGTAGCCTCGTTTCTCCCATAATCTTATTTTCTTTCGCTCCACTTTCCCATGTAAACAGAGCTAATTAATTTTATCCTATTACCGCGTTAAAATAGAACGTTTCGAACTTAAAAAAACGATTTTTATTTTCAGATAACAGGAATAATTTTATTATCCATTGGCGTTGCGATTCATGGAGTATATCACAGCTATCAGCATTTTTTGGATAATAAATTTTTGTCTGTTCCGTCGTTACTCATCGCAATCGGTGCAATCATCTTCTTTATCGCTTTCTTCGGATGTTGCGGTGCCGTTCGTGAGAATTATTGCATGATTGTTACGGTAATTATCTATTTTTAACTATATGTTCATTATTCTTAATAAAACATATTAAATGACTTCTTTTTTTCTAGTTTACATCGTTACTAGTCGTTGTCTTTATTATGGAACTGTCAGGTGGTATATCTGGATACGTTTTGAGAGCCAGAGCATCATCGATCATTCAAGAAAACATGATAGACACAATGAAGTCGTACCAGAACAACTCAGAAATAAAATACGTTTGGGATAAAGTTCAAATCGATGTAAAGTTTTTTTCATTAAGCTCATCTATTATGAACTTTGTAACTTCATTGCCATCTCTTCAAAATTCTATTTGAAAATTGTTACATAAAATGTTAATTATTCCAGTTCCATTGTTGTGGAATGAATAATGCGACCGACTGGACGGAGAGTTTGAATTCGAAAGTCCTTCCTCCAACATGTTGTAACAATCAACTGGGAGCAGGAGACGGAAATTGTACCGTTTCTTCCTCTACCCTACATAACGAGGGTTGTTACCACGAGTTCCTTTCTTTCATTAAATCCCACGCCGTTCAACTGGGCGCTGTTGGCCTTGGTATTGCCTTTGTTCAGGTAATCACAATATATAAATTCAAAAATTTTAAAAAGCTATATAGTAAACGATTCTATTTATATTTTTATTATTTATTTTTCAGGCCCTAGGCGTCTGGTTCTCAGTTTACCTGGCGCGATCGATCAGAAACAGTTATGAAAGTGTATGAAATGTTGAAAGATATCAGGTGAAAACTACCCCTAATCGATGCTTAATTGTAAGAAGAAAACATCGTTATAGTGTTAAGGAATGAAGTTCATATAAAATGAAATATTTTATATAATGTAAAGTTTGCTATTAAGAAACTGTGGATTCATGGAGTACATATGTGAATGTACATGTCCGCGTATGCTTCCATTTGAATATAATGTAAACGTCTTGTGAGATTTTAATTAGTAGAAAAGAAAACAATATTGTATCCAACCATGTTTTTGTGCAATAAAAGATACTACAATTTGTTGAAGGATTTATTGATAAGGGGAATAACTGATCCTGGTTTGAAATGAAATTTAGCGTACACAGTTTGTAATACTTTTCCGTGTATGAATAATGAACGTGTGCTGAATTACCCACACTATGATACGCATGAGTCATATGCTGTTTTCACGCATGAGCTTAGAAACCGGTCGATGTCCACTGTACCACTACTTTGAAGTCCTTCACTGTAAATAGATCATTCCTCAAACAACTGATATGGTTCTTAAAATACTAAGCTGCTTAGAGGTTTAAGTTTATAGGGATCAATTATATTTAATGTTCCTTAAAAATTATCCATATTTCATGGTTTCAAATGATATTAGTATTACTTTTAGGGCCAATTTAGTTCAATTATTTTTAATTACTTTTTTCTAATTTATCTGTTTCTCAATTTTTCTGTAGATTCTATGAATATAACAAAATTCTTTACAACAAATAAGAATGTTTCGACAACAACTGCGATAAAGATACTGGAAATAAGACTAATTATCGAACTGATAAAAAAAATTCTTTTTGTTTCAGTATACGACGCAAAAAATCAATCTAATATACAACATGTAATTTAGAATTTCATTTACATTCTTTAGTTATTTATTATTATGTAATCGTCATTCACGAATGCATAGTGAAGAAATAAGATGCGTAGGAATGAAAGGGAAAAAAGGTGAGCGCATTTGTAAAAACACGTAACCGAGTAGCGCTACGTGTGTCGTCGGTACGTACACGTCTTTATCAGTAGATAATGCGATACATCGAATCGAGTTTAGGTGTTTTCCACGTTCAGTTGGTTCTTCCTCGTTGCTCGCGAGAGAGAAGGAGCAGTGTTGTTCCGTAGTGCACCTACGTGTGAAAGGATTCCCGGAGAACGTGCACCAAAATGGCTGCCACACATCTCGATGTTGGTCTACGCTGCATCAAGTACCTGCTTTGCGCGGTTAACTCCCTTTTTGTGGTCTGTAACCACATTTTTTTCAATCATCTTTTTATATGTCCTTTCAACGTTACTAAGTTACCTTGTTTCCTTCGTGTGTACGATATCCATTTCTATTCCAGTCGATTAACCAAACAAATATCGTTCGATTGTATTGATTATACCTACACCTGTTACGTTCAAATCTGTCACCCAATCTTTATCAATTTTTAGTATTAGTTTTATTCCCTTTAGTTTGAATGATTATATAATCAAATGCATTTAAAAAAAATATAACTGAAATTATTTCATTATGGAATTGTGAGTCACTGGATATCGATATCCTGTGACTCAATAAGATTGTACCAAAGATCGATTTTTATCGATCATGTATTACTTCGCCACGTTTTCTAATAATTATTATTTCTTATCTGTTTACATATGTATCCAATTCAAAATCAATTATCTATCGATCAATGATCGATTGTTCGAGTAGAAGGATTTAGACGTAAAATTCAATTTTACCATTCCTTAAATAAATAAATATTAATAAGTACTTACATATCGCGGGGCACAAGTAATTTGTGTTATATGAATCGTTAAAATACATTAAGACAAGGAAACATATGATAAACAGAGGCAAATGTTAATAACAATGCAAGGATAAAAGAGGAACGAGAAATAAAGTCGAAGTTGGCTCCGACTATAATTACAATCATGTCGATTTTCCCTCACGGGAATAACTATAACTCGGCCCTGAGATTCAGGAGGTTAGGTCAACCCTCCGCACGAGGGTTGATCGTAACTTCGCGTCGCCATTCGAATGAGCAACTCAATCGATATCGACTAGATGAGGTTGACCCCGATGAATTATTACACTGTGGAGAAAGTTTACGTCGCCATCGACGTCTTCCACCTTGTTACTCATTTTTTCCATTACAAAATTTTACCGATAAATTTATCGTTTTCCCTGATGCATGAAAATTCTCGTATTCTGTGATCGGTATCAAAGTCGGAAACCGTTGCCTTGCAAACGTAAACGGCTTGTCTTATCAGTTTAGATAAACTTGTATAATCTCCGATACTGATAACAGAATTCCATTGTCTTTCTCTAACAAATATCTGTAGAGAATAAATGAAAATTGCTTTTTACGCGATACGGGTTCGACAACCCTTGTTACAGGGAACTGCAATATCGTCCAGATTTTTTAAACTGCGTCAGAATAGTATTCGTTGTTGTTGATAAATTATTAGTAGGTTTTGCCTAGTTTCTTTTTTAAGATTAAATGTTTAATTTGTCAGCTTTTCTACTTATGAGACTTAAGCCAGTCGTTCTTATTGTTTTTGATAAAGTAACATCTATCATAATATGGCTTATTCGTAATATGATGTTAATTTTCAAATGAAGGATATATTTACATCATATTTTAATATTAAATAATCTTAATGTTTTCCTTCAATTTGTTTATAGTTGACTGGGATTATGATAATATCTGTTGGAACAACAATTTATGCAGTTTATGAAGACTTCTCTCATTTTCTTGACTACAGTTACGTTTCTCCAGCAACTTTGTTAATCGTCGTTGGAATTCTTGTTTTTGTAATAGCTTTCCTAGGTTGTTGTGGAGCTCTTAGAGAAAGTACTTGTATGGTTCTAGTGGTAAGCATTGTCAAGTGGTAATGCATTAGATTTAGATTAATTGAACAAATTAAAAATGCTGTATTTATAGTTTGCAGTATCATTATCAATCGTCCTTGTACTGGAGTTAGCTGCTGCAATTTCAGCTTATGCTCTTCAAGATGGAATAAAGGACCTTCTTGCAGATAAAATTAATGTTACCATGCATCAATATGGAAAAAATGAAGAAGCTACGGATGCTATTGATTTTCTACAATCAAGGGTAATATTTGTATTGCTAAAATATATGAGGAACAGTATCCATGGCCAGGAAATAGATAAGATTATTTTTTATCAGCAACCAAAATTAGATAAAACTCTAAAATTACATCTTTATTTATTTTTCGTGTACGTATATCATTATGTTATAGCTTTACTGCTGTGGATATAATGGATACGAAGACTGGACGGAAATTATGAAAGAAAATCATATGGATCTCCCAAAATCTTGCCGACCATGGGCAGACATTAATGAAAACACTACCTCTACAATTGATAACGATGAAATTGCTTTTGCTCCTTATGCACCTGGATGTATTAAACACCTTTCAGTTATTATTTACAGGAGTGCACTGTATATTAGTACCGGCGCTGTGGCCATCGCTCTTATTCAGGTTTATATTTCCCTAATTATTGTCTAACTTACAGGATTTTAAGATTATAAAATGAATTTCACATTCTGTTTTTATTTTTCAGTTGACTGGAATAATGTTTGCCTGCATGTTAGGCCGAGCAATCAGAAGGCAGAAAACCGAGAGGGAAAGGCGTAAATGGGAATTAAGAGAAAGTTTAGTCAATGGTTATCAACCATTAGGAAAATCAGATCCTTTCACTACATTCCCAGTTATTTACATGTCCCCCGCTGAAACCTTAAAGAACGCTTAGTATCCTTTCTTACCATAAGAATTTTTAACCAGTTTTTAAAAATATTCTCGCCTCCCTAATAATATTTTTCATTTTTTAAAAGTATTTATGTATTTCGATCGTTTACAATTTTGAAAATTACTAAGTCTACATTGTGATCGAACTATATTATTCACTTTTGTAGATTACTCATTAAAATTTTATAGATATAGCTAATCCTATGACTTCAAATTCTTTATAATAATAATTGTAACTTATGCTACGTTATATTTTTATATAGAACTGCAATTGTAGGTAATGTGTATGAAGATTTAATATATACATTTCTGTAAATACAATAAAATGTATACTTAAATATTTCTTACAATTTTTTTTTTATTGGAATAAATTGTTTTTTAATTTTTATTTGTATGTCATTGAAAGATTAAAGTTCGTTTGAAAATCTCTTTAACTTCCTCGTTTTTTACCAAATCATTTAAGTAAGGCGGCGTAAATTCGCGATACGCCAAACAAATTCGTCTAGATTTTACATCTTCCCTCAAGACACAGTGTTCCCACTTATATCTAAAAAAAGATAGGGAACAATGTACTGTGCATTCTTTGTACCCCGAAAGAAAATTCCTTTACCTTGCACTACCATAAAGAACCATGAGAGACCCCTCAGGCATTGGAAGCCTTACAATTACATCTTTATCATTATTTCTTTCATTTTCTACATCAAATTTCAAATCCTTGCATGTTGTAGAATACTCTGTAATACTGTTCAAATTGTACTTTGTATCTAAGCCATGATAAGGACTCATTGTTAAAACTGAGTCACCCATCACATTGACAGTAACTATTCTTTCACCCCAAACCCAGCAATCATCAATATGGGGATCTATTGAAGCTCCTCTTAATGGGTCATACTCTAAAGTACACTGTTCTATTGTTTGAAAATCACTAAGTATGGGTACTTTAGAAAATTTGTCTTGCACAAATTGAGTGGATATTGGAAACCCATTGAAAGAACCCAAACGAAGCTTTCTTTTCTTGAAATTACATTTTGGACCAAAGTTCTAAATTTTAAATCATTCAATTTTATCATTACCCCCTTTGTTTATAGTTAATATTTTAGAAGATTATAGTTTTCCTAAATGCTATAAAAATAAATACACAAGTAACTATTACTAGAGAAAATACCTGTTTCCTCCTTCCACTTTGTGAAGCTTCCCAAGGAATATCATCGAGTGCTTTCACCAATGAAGCAATTTCACAAGAATTCAGGAAGCCTAACTATTTGATTACAAAAGATAACATAATATTAAATAGAACAATGATGGAATAGAATAATGCTGTTGAATGAATACCTGTATGTATACACCTGGAAATTCTATGGCTTCTCCCTGGTGATTTGGATGGCTTTTATATAAATCAATATCCCATCCGGGCCAAGATTTATCACAATGCGGGCAGTAAACATAACTCGAACATCCCTGAAATATGAAATAATGTTAGTTGAATAAGAAATATAAGGTTACAATTTAACTAAACTTAACCTCTAAATAAGCTTTAAAATCAGGTTTCACAATGTTGTATTCCGCTTCACAAAGAAGACAGGATCTTATTCCTTTACAACCACATGGTCGAACTGTGTCCATTTCTCCAAAAAAAAATACTAATTATTATTAAATAATACTATTAAGGTGATGCGAGCGTCAAGACCGAACTTCGAATTCCGCGTTGGTAAAACAGTCAATGTTTCATCGAAAATTAGGCCGAACAGAAACTGATTTAAGCGCCATCTCAATTATCGCATGCTATCAACCCTATCAACTAACGGCATGCTATACTATTACGTCACCTTTCACATACACCTAAATGACACGTGGATGCTACGATAGCTATATGTATAATAAGTACATAATTAAACAGTACTGACCATGCATTCATTATTATTAATTTTCGGTCCGTAAAATTGTAGTTGCAATGTGATACACTTCAGAATCTGAAAGGCATAGTTCCTGAAAAATATATAACAAAGATTAAATAGAAAAGAAAGCATAAATTTCGCAGCCAATTCGCTCGTATTATTTGCTATATAATTAATAAATGTACCATAGAAATAATGATACAGTTATTAATTAGTCATCAAATAAAAACGATTGCCCAGTTTTCACCACGAGGAGGTTGCTATGGTTTGGAGACCCGCCCTACCTCATCCCATCCACCCTCCATTTATGCAAATTTTTACTTTCATTCAATAATGAATTCCTCTCGAAAATTGTTATAAGAAAAATATTTGTTAGTTAACGTAGCGAATTTCTATCAAATGAAAAGCAGAAATTATGTGTTCTGTGGACAAGAGCGAGATCTGGCGTCTGACCAGAGTCATGGATAAAGTCATGGCCTTTCCAATGTATAGCGTCTCTGCTTGAAATATCTTCGCCAGGGTTGATTTCTTTCTACCATTGCGTATCAAACAACTTCGTTCTTTCTAAATTCCATATTTTGTGATTTTCTTTTTATTTTATTTTTAACCGACTTCGAAAAGAAGGAGGTAATTAGTCATTTGTAATTAGTCAAAAATCATACAAGTTCCTTTTTCAGGAACTATAAAATTACTATAGTTGTACGTTCTATATGGTAATATTGCAATCCCGAAAATACTTTTCTGAATTTAAACTATTGTTTCCCAATTAAAAAATATATAAATCTTTTTATAGTAGCTCTTAGCTTGATATCGCCTTCTAAAAGTTATCTTTAGAAAACGATATCAATTACCAGGTCACACCACGTGGAGGTGGCTACGTTAGTGACCCACCCTAAAATCATAAGAACGTGAAACCATTCAAAACAGACAACATAAAATAAAAATTGAAGCAATACAATCTTGAAATAGAAAATAAAATTAACATCCTAATATCAGAAACAATTGAGAAAATAATAATAATTTAACAATAAAATGCTGTAACGGAAAAAATAATTATTAGGAATAGATATACAATAACGTGAAATCATTCAAAACAGACAACATAAAATAAAAATTTAAACAATACAATCTTGAAATAGAAAATAGAATTAACATCCTAATATCAGAAACAATTGAGAAAATAACAATTCAACAATAAAATGCTGAAATAGAAAATATAATTAACATCATAATTTCTGTAACAATTAACAAAATAACAGTTCAACAATAAAATGCTGAAATAGAAAATATAATTAACATCATAATTTCAGTAACAATTAAAAAATAATTCAATAATAAAATGCTGAAATAGAAAATATAATTAACATCATAATTTCGATTACAATTGAAATGAAAAATGCTGACAACAAAAAATATAATTACCATTACAATCTCAGAGTATGTTTTAAATAAATAGAACATAATTAAAATAAGAACATGAAATATAATTAATGTGCAAATCAATAAGAAAAGAATAATTTATTTCAATAAAGCAATAAACAAAAAAGAAATAGGGGAAATAAAATCGCGAGTTGACCATTCAACGAGCTGGGTATTGAACTCGTAAAATTTCGAGTTCAATACGTCCTGGACGGTATTATTCATACCGTTCAAGGAAAAACACAAAAAATGAAAAAACAAATTAGCGAGCATAGTGACAGAATGACTGTCCATCCGAAGATGGAGAGCCATTAGTAGTTCCCCTCTTCTGGGCAAATTTTGCCGGGGCTCTTCAGCATATAGCCTCTTCTTTCTTCGGCAATAGCCTCACAAAAATCACTCGCGAAAATTTTACGTTTGCTCAGACATTTGTAAAAACGTAACACGTAAACGAGCAACGATCCCTTGAATCGCTACTCGCATACCTGCACAATTTTTGCAAATGTCTAATCACAAAACACTTTTTAATTTCACTTCACTTCACTTCACTGCACTTTCACTTTAATACTTCATTTTTGTAATCGGGTCTAGTACCACGACTACGACTTACAAACTAATAAGGCTTGGCCTCGAAAAAATCAAGAGAGAATGCTAAATTAATTAATTAATCAACTAATTAATTTGCATTTTCATTTTTCCTCTTGATTTTTTAATTTCCAACCCCAGATACAAGCTTCTCACGTATTAGAGGAGAATACGAAGAGAAACATGAAAGCTTGCTCTGGCCCTGCCTACTTATAAACTAAACTCAATCACACCAGAAGTAAACTACCTGCCTGCCTATCGCTATATTTAAAAAAGGGCAAAAATCATTCTCACAAAAATTCACTCCACGGTTCTCATACAACCACCCGGGTGCAAAAAAGCCTACACCTAGGGAGAACGTCCCGGGACGCCTCCGACACCCGAGTTCAATTCAACTTTCACACTCTAATAAAATCATACCTTTTTGCTGAAATCGACTGACAAATAATAGTGAACATTATGCTAAAGTAATACATTTCATTTTCGTATTCTATTGAATTATCTAATGTAAAAATTTTTCAATTTATTCTTGATAAGTATTTTGTAATGTTATAGTAAGTTAAGATTGTTAATAAACGATACAAATCCCACATCCTAACCACACACACACATGTGGAATTTATATCGTGGTTCACTATTAGTCCACTACTTTTGTCAGTCGCCAAAATGTATTACACTTAAAACTAAACCTTGTCCACCGCCCTCCACCCACGCGAGTACATCTAAGTACCCGAATGAGCTTTGGGCATAAAAATGAACAAGGCCAAAGGTATTTTCACCTACCAGTTTTCTTCATGTGTGCTGAAATGCCTAAGCTAAAACGTATGATTAGCAAAAACTAAAGATGATATTCTCACTTTATTAAAAGTAAGAATATCGGCGAAATTTCACGGCTCCGATTTAGTATATGGGCTGCCCCCCCCAGGGGGTTTAATTTTTAATAAAAGTGACTAGACTTTGCAAATATAAAGGATGAAGAGCAAATACAGAAAAGCAAAATTGAGCAACTATGACATAAAACATGGTGCACTGCTAATATCAGTTGGCAACGGAGGTTCTTAGGCCCCCTGGACTTGCGCCCGACGCTACATACCACCCACCCCGCCTGGACGTCGTAACGCCAGGACAGGATGCACCCCTTCGCTAAGAGCGCTACCCGCCCGTCCAACACGTTGCATCCAACGTGTCAGATTGACGGACGCCCATAGTATAGACAAAAGGACTACAGTTTAGAATATGGTAACATATTTTCATATGTTCCGTATTCTAAAGCTGCGCCTGCAAAGGCCTAGTAATGCATGGGTTTATCTCCCATGAGATGGTGTTTCACGGTCTTATGCCGCGGAATCCTTGTAACTAATTTGATTAAATAAATAAAATATTGGATTGAGTTTAAAAACCAAAAGGATTCCCACCGAATACTAGACAGTGCATTATCATATTTACTCTCGCGCCGGAAATTTTTCGCAACACTACTTAAACTTGAAAATTCTAACTGGGTAATATTTACTCTCGCGTTGAAAATTTTTCGCAACACTAGTTAAACTTGAAAATTCTAACTGGGTAATATTTACTCTCGCGTTGAAAAATTTTCGCAACACTACTTAAACTTGAAAATTCTAACGGGGTAATATTTACTCCCGCGTTGAAAATTTTTCGCAACACTACTTAAACTTGAAAATCCTAACGGGGTAATATTTCACTACACAACGGTATGCAGGTGGATAAATGATTATGTGATAGAGTTCGTGAGGCTGAAGTGCGAATGATGAGTGTTTAGGGTCGAGAACCGTGAACGTGACAGAATGAACTTCAAGTTCCAAAGGGGAACTTTATACAATGCTTGAAGAGCAAATACCAACCCCCCTGGGGGCCAGCCCATATACTAAACTGATGCCAATTTCACGAGTAAAATCGGAAATACGTTTCAATTTCAAGAGCGATTTCGTTATCAAAGTAAGTAGTTATAATAATTAATAGTATTCATGCTTATTACTTTGATATTGAAATCCGCTCATCGCGAAATAAATTCTTGTACATATAAAGAAGAAAGTGTATTGTGAAGTCGGAGGGTCATCCGACTTCTCTACATTTTTAAACTTGAAATCTATATATGTAAATATGTACAAGAAAACCCTATCCTGAGCTAAGGCATAAAATACACAAAAAAGCAATTTGCACGATTATCATTGTATAAAATGATACAGTGATATTCGTGGGTCACTATGCTCGCTCAAAAAATAAAAATTACAACCAATTCCCGTGTCGCTACGGACCGTTCGTCCTACGACATGATGGGAACCGGAGGAACTTTAAAGCATGCGACTCACCGATCGTTGACTTGCACTACTGCAATCGCCACGCATCTTATTAGCGCGTCTGTTGGCTCGTCAAAGAAACGGTATCCCCACTGGCCAAAGCACTCATCTGAAAGCATAAAAATCACGATTCTTGAACGATATATGTTTTCTCTCAATTTGTTGTAGTTAATATGCTAATACATAGGATAATTCAAAAATATGCATGCAAAATTATATGGGAATAACTACACCATAAAACGCGGTAAAACACATGCAAATACATTCCAAAACACTTGAAGATCAAAACCATAGAACACTATAAAATATTTGCAAAATTATAGTAAAACACATAGGGTACCAATCCATAAAACCTACTAATAAATCCGTATAAATATGCCAAAACACAAAGGGTACTACTCCATAAAACCCACTAATAAATCCGTATAAATATGCCAAAACACATAGGGTACCACTCCATAAAACCCACTAATAAATCCGTAAATATATGCCAAAGCACAAAGGAAACCACACCATAAAACACAATAAAGCACATGCAGGTACATGGGGTACCACACCACACAGCACACTAATGCACTTGTATAAAAATGTCAGAGCACATGGGTGACCACACCATAAGTCGCACTAATATATCCGTATAAATATTCCAAAACATGGGAAACACTATAGGAAACACTATAGGCACACATAGTAACACTTGTGGTAATACACTGATAAATCCATGCACGAATATCCATAGTGTCAACTCGTACCGGTATATGTTTGACAGCTCGACCCATATCCTTCGGCGGTCGCGATAAGACTGATTAGATTTGACCTCTCTACAGGTCGCGCGTGTACCGGCGCGCGGCGCGCGCAATCAAGCATGACGTTCCGCTTCACCGGTTCCGCAGATTTAACTATTTCTATCTGATATTTGTTAATATTTGTTTAATTATTATTTTATATTTTACAATTGTTTATTAATCAAATTATTGTTATATCTATTTAAATTGTTTATTTCTTTACATTTCCGTGTGGGTATATTGCAAAGTTTTGTTTAATTATTCTATTAAAAATTATTTAATTATTATTTTTAATTTTACAATTGTTTATTAATCAAACGAACGAACTGCGCCCTACAGAATGAACGAGAAACTAAATTTCTGGTCTGTTTTACCTTGTTGACGTCTTTCGCGTGTGAACAATCATCGAAATCGTAGTTTTCAAATTACTTCTACCTGGAGACTTGTACATCATCCCTTGGGTGCTCGTTTTATTCTATCCGACCCAAAGAATATTAGTCTGGTCCTTATTTGGACATAAATGTTTATATTACGAATAAATCAATGCAGGTGAGTCCGATCCGCCATTTTCTTGACCGTTGACAGACAGCAATTTCAATATTTTATAACTTTTTGACGATTTGGATAATATAAGGACCAGACTAATGGTGATTTTGAACTAAAGATACACCCTTCAGCATGCTCACCATCCCTCTGGGGAAAATGGCGGTCAAAGCCTGCGGAGGGGAAGGTGTCTCCACCACTCACTTGAATCGCCTGGCATTACCCTCCAATTCATAGGAGCCACTTTTGTATTATAATTAATTAATTACTGGCTGGATTCTCACAAAACCTATATTGGAAAGTTGCTATGGGTATAAAGATTAAGAATCAACCAGACGTCAGAGGATTCATTTCTGAATAAATCAATGTAAAGAATTCTTTGAAATTTCGATATTTTAAAAAATTCGCGGAAAAACAAGTATCGTCATCTACTGTTTAGGGTTGAAAATGAGCTTTTTGATTATACCGATAGGAAGCTCCATCCTTTAGTTCTTCCCGCCGCCACCAGAGAGCGCCACTAAAGAAAACGCGCCAAATGACGTATGCATTTAAATTGTCATAAACATAACGTTCTGTTTGAAACAATAATTTTATAAAATGTCAATAACTAAAAGAAAAAATAATACGGTGCACGAATGAAACATCCGTAATATGAGTTTCACGTTTTCTTTATTGTTATTAAATTAATATGTTGTTCAAGACTTATACACATATACGCGTGTGTGTAGGATCGTGTCTGTAAAGCGACTGATCCGCCATCCATTTCACGATCACTTCCACACACCGTATATGTCTATATTACGCACGTATGTATGTATTGTATATAACAGCGACAATTACAATGCATCGTTTATGATCAGTAATAATAATCGTAATCGAAAACCTTACCGATTACTAGATGAAAACAAAACTGGCGAAGTAATCGTAATGATCGTTTAATAGTACAGTCGTATTACTCGTAACCCTTAAGTCCATCGTTTAATACTTATATCACTCATTATAGATACAGGGATACAGAAAAATAATACCGCGCGGCTGTGGTGGAATTTTCTTCCACTACATTTATATATATGTATACATATATATTCTGTGCACGTGTAATATGTATATGTATATATATATGTATATTATAAAAGGGGATCGAGGACTGTCATTAGAATTAGAATTTTTTTTTCTACTCTCGCACAGATTCGCTCTGTCTCCATATTTGTTTTTTTTTTATATGTATGTTGACTATCAACGATAGATCTAAAAGATCGATCACGAATCAATCGTCACGAAAACCTAACCTTATGAAAAGAATGATTTGCATAGGAAAAGTTGTAAATTTATTCCAGCCACGATAGAGTGCATAGATGGAAGATTAGATATTACCTTTTCTCTCGGCGACTGTACAATTTCTTTTGATTAATGATAGACATGTCTTTCGGATGAAATAGATGAATGGATATTTCAGGGATGTAGCTGAACGGCAATTGTTTCTTTTATGCCTCTTTGGAGCGTGGATGATTGATGCGTTGTCCACCATTAGGAGGAATGAACTTTGTGAAAAGCAAAGTATCGATTTGCTTGAAGAATTCGCCTTCTCGACTCTTATTACAATTTTCTCATTAAAATGATTAATTTCTCCTAAGTAAAAATTAAGTAAATAAAACAAGCTCTCTCTTATATAAATAAAAAAAGAATCTATATAAAATTCTATACTAGAAGATTAATTCATTCTTCCTGACGATCGATTCTCGATGAAATCTCAGATGACGTTGCAATCGTACTTCGCACCATCTCTTTAAACAACATTAGGAGATAAATTGTGGCTTTACTTAACGATCCTACCATCCGAGCTCGTCTACGTGATTAGCGAGATCGGTATATCAATTTTACAACACGAGCTGCACTATTTAGGTCCTTGGTCCATTTTCGACGCATACGTTTTATTTACAAGACGTTTATTACTTTTTTTATTTCTCTTTGGTGCGTGCATTACCACTTAATCAACTTCTCTCTCACTCTCTCTCTCTCTCTCTCTTTTATAGTTGCGTTAAGTGTCCTGTTCACGAGGGAATCGAGAGCGAATCGTCGAGAGGATAACTGCCTGTGTATAAATCGTTTTGCACGCGTCGACAAGTGGATGATCGAGAGAAACTAGGGCGTTGAATTTTCTCATTGGCTCGTTTTCGATCGAGCGATCGAAAAACGAGCACCTCGAAGGAATACTATTAATCGGATGGTTCTTCGTCGGATTAAATGTTAGTTAAGCACTTTTGGCCGAGATCTTCCCTTAAGAGAGAGCCGAACTTGATTAATTACCCTTCGATAATTAACGATCCATTTAATTTGTACATTGGATCGAAATGATTTGAAAATTTCTATTTCTATCGCGGCGGTGAAAGTGTTGGAAACGAAGAAGTCTGACTAACCGTTGACCCTAACTACTGTTGTCTGACGCGGCCGAGAATCAAGTAGTACAAGTAAACGCATACGGCTTCCTTTCATTAACCCTTGAACAGCGGAGCCTGTAATTTACAAAAACACGTGCAAAGATGTTAACCTAAAATTAAACGTATAATTATTAAAGGAACGATGTAAAATTTAGAAAATAAAAATAGTATAAAGTACAATAGTGAATTATAATTGGGACTCTCTCCGTGGTCCGCCATCTTGGAGCTCTCTCCCTGGTCCGCCGTTCGAGGGCTGAATTCTAAGATACTTCAAACGCGAAAAAAGCATTGTTTTTCTCTGAATAAATAAATAATAACAACTGGTAACCACTTTTCAATCCTCTCTTAAGGGTTAAGGCGAGTGTAACGCAGTCAACTCTCATCGTCCCCGGGGCGAAAGACGATATTCCACCTCGCCGTGATCGGTATGGAAATATCGAAGGTATTCTCAAACGTTTTCCTCGTTCTCACCGTCGCTTTTTTCCTCTTTGTATGGCATGCTATTACCTGTATATGACACATTTACAATAATAACAATATGTTACTCGTCGACAATCGTCACGGTCCACCCCGTTCTCACCTTAAACTCGTACTTCAAATTTTTTTTTTCTTCCTTCATTATGTATACGTGTATATATATACTCATATTTATATATTTATATATTTATATAATCCGAAAAGTTCAGTGTGTCGCTCGTATGTACGTGTGTGTGTGTGTTTTTCATTTCTTTTTCTCAAAAGGTCCTGGACCCCCTCTGTCCATTCCTCTCACATCTCACACCCCCTTTCTCGCGTCTCGTTTCTCACTTGCTCGATCGGGTATCACAAAATTTGTCAACGCCACCTCGAACGTCTCTATTTCTCACTTTTCTCGAAATTATTCTAACTCTAATTCTCGAAGCATGGACGATTTATCATTCGTCCTGGTGAATGTTAAGATAACAACGTTGAGAAATGAAAAATTTGCAAAAGATCTAATGGTATACTGGGAGACTAAAAACAGTGAAATTGTACCAACGTTCGATGATTTATCTACTGCTATTGAAAGATCATTTAGCATAAGAAAAAATTTGTACTGATTTTTAGTCTCCATCTGTTACCGATTCAAGGCGAGATTTCGATAATGAAAACAGACGAGCAAGCAAGAATTTCAAGACGAAATAATTTTTCCGTATAAACGACGCTACTATAAAATAGATATCATCGAATTGCAGGAGCAAAGATAAAAGCACGTATAATTCGACGAAAGAGAAAGTCATCGTTCTTAACGTCGCGAGAACAGGACCCGCCTTCTCCATTAATTCTCGCTTAATCGTTTTATAATGTTGATGATTTCATTTTTTTCTTTTTTTTTTTCGTGAATTCGTTAGCGGTGTTACGAGGCAAAAAATTTGTGCATAGCCTGGGCACAGGCGAACGGTGAAAAATATTCAACTGGGAAGCATGAATGACCACGATCGCGATAAGAAATACAAGGCAAGATTGGTCGAGAAATGTTTCCTTTCAACGAGCATGGTTTTCGATTATCGTATGTAATTGTCGCATTCGCCGTATTTTAATTTCACGCTGTCAAAGTGACTCGGCAAAATGATTGACACAACGTTTCTAATGCTTTCGAAGAGAAAGCTCTTTCAACACGTACGAAGATGAAAAACCATGCCTTACTGTTAATTAGCTTTTAAAATAAAGAACGCTAAGAGTCTAACTCTTAAAAACTAGACGAAGAGAGACGTTCTTTAGAGAAGGAAATGATGTTTCTGTTTGCACCGGGTACATTTCTAATAATTTTGATTAATTGTGATTAATTGTGAACTATTCATTGCTTGAACTTTAAAATAAATAAAGAAAATTGAAATATCATGATCATGCGGTAATTTAAATTATAATTAGAATATACTAAAAATGCCAGTCGAATTTGACACAATTGAACTGTAAGTTATGATTCGATATTATAAAACAAAGGGTTAATATACACTGCAGAATGATTAATATTTAAATTACAATTAGCATCTAATAGGTAATGGATCAAAAATAATACCAAGGAAATAAGACGAAGGTAAGGAAATAAATACTGAAGGTGATGTTCAGTTAACACCCGAGTACAAACAGAAAGTAACATTTCTTTTCCATGGAATGTTCGGGCGACCTGTAAACGGGTCAACGTAGCCTGTCGACGAAACGAACGAGCCTCTCGTCGATGACGTTACGCATAAAATAAAATCGCGAAAGACCGAAGTACGACCTCCGATCACTTTCAGATTTGCGACGATCTCCACGTTCTGGCACGTCACGTTCGCTATTGCTATTTCGTTAAATACTGGTATCAACGCGTTCACGCACGAGACAAGACGCAATACGAAGACGTATCACTCATACGCATTCCCTTACATTTACATTACCCGTTATAATAAAATACACATTCACGAATGTAACGGTACTTTGTTGTTTCTTTGTATGACCTTAAGACGAAATGAACCTTTTACTCGTACATCCCGTTCCCGCCTTCCTCCCTAAGGAGATTCTCATCGTTCTAATTATTTATATACAAGATGGAAATTGATTAAAGTGTTCTCTGATAATCTCCACTTTCTCCCTCACTTACACGCCGTTATAAAAAATTGATTCGTTTTTTTTTCTCACCAAGATATACTTAATAATCGCGAAACACTTTCCTCATCACTTCTCCTTCGATCATCCTTCGCCAGGCTTAAAAAATCAAACCTCGCCCCGTTTGATGTTACACCAGCTGCGCGACGTTATGGAAAAATATTCTTGAATACAATCGTGTGGCCCATCACAGATCGTTCCAGCGTCAGAGGTACGATAAAAGAAGAAAGGATAAAAAGAAAAATTAAACGTATGCACGCGCAGACATACATACACACTCTCTCTTTCATCGTCTACTTCATCCTTTGAAAATTAAACTTAGTAAGGTCGTTCTTACATCGTGCGTATGGTATATGTAACAAGAGTCTCTATGTACAGGTGTGTCCTCTCGTTCGTCGAACGAGCAAGATCCCAAAGGGGTGGATGGTACAGTTCGTACATCTAGTCCCACCACACACATCTAGTCCCACACTATTTTCTTCGTTCGACCTGCTCGATCCATCGTCGTCGAATCACGATCTGGTCGCTCGGTTAAAGGCGCGTGTGTCTAAATATTTACATTCACACCGAGGACCGCAGAGGGACAAGTCCATTGGACGAGGGAGCACCGGGTTTATCCTTTTGCTTGTTTTTTTTTCTTTTTTTTTCTTCTTTAAGGCAGTGTCGTTCGTCGGCGACGAACACGAGCTTCCTCCTCCGTTATTCGTTGGCAGTAAAACGCGACCGGATTGTCCGGTACAGCGTTTTCTAAGGTCCGTGCTTTCAACCGATCGTATTCCTTCACGATCAATACGGTCTTCTCAGATTCGATCCAGACTACGCGGACGTAGGAGAGCGAGCAGAAGCAGCCTCCAGGCGTCGGTACGAGCCTGGACCAGGCTTAAGGACGATTCGAGCTCGAATTCGAAGCACGGCCCCGTGTGTCATACGGGCTCCTCCCTCTTGAAATTGATGTTCTGGGAGGCGCAGAAGTCACGTGTGAACGGTATACAGTTGAACAGCTTGCACACTTCGCACTCGTATACCGGCACGTTGTAGAACAGGGTCAGTAACAAGGCGAACAGTACAACGATCAGGATCAAACATATCCAGATCAGCCAGATTTTGCGACGACGATCGTAGTGGCCGAACGAGATGAAAGGCATCAGAGCGTACGCGGCTAGGAAGCCGAAGATGAAACCGAACAGATGAGCATAGTTGTCGACCCATGGAAGAATACCCAGGATCAGAAGTGCGAACAGGGTGAAGATCAACTTGGACAAGGCTCGTCGTGGGTGCTTCAACATCGGCCAACAGTGTAACACCTCGACGATCAACGTTGCGAGGAGGGCGAAGTGCGCTCCTGCTGGTCCGACCTGTAATCAGACGATTGATTTCTTGAAATATTTTTATATTTTTATGTGATAATAATCCAGACGAGAAGGAACGCGTACAGTCAATCAAAGGGTAAACGTTAATTAACAGCGGGTATATCGCGGAGAGAATAGCGGATGGAATTAAGTTGCGTTTAACCGAACTAATTAGAACAAATTGGACAGTATTAGTTCTCCTCGAACGCCGCTTTCTGTCCGCTTTTATTTGCTGTCCGTTCTCTTGGGTGCGGGTGCACGGCTGCTGATAGAAGGGAACAGTGGAAACGTAGACGATGGAAACGGAATTGACGTATAACTGGAAGTTTAGCCAAGTGTTAAGAGGTAAACTATCGAGCGATAAGACGGCGTAGACCGGGAGCTCGAGAACGGTGCCGTAAAGGAAACGATTGTTATAGTGTTAACCCCTTTCATGGATATAAGTCACGGTGCAAGCCGGTCCCCGAGCAATTACTTTACCCCGTTGGGTCAAAGAGTCGATTAAATCGACGATACACAATGAAACGCACCGCTAAGCGTCCCGTGAGATTATTCAATTAAAACTTAGCCGTGACGCGAGTAATAAAACCGTCCCGGCTCGATGAATAATCGGTCATTGATCTTCGTTTAAATTATTACTCTTTCCAAGCTACCTTTTAAATTTGTCTACTAGTCTCGATCTTCCTGCTTCCTTTCGAACGATTCTTTCATTTAAAAAAGAACCTACCTCTGCTCTGTAAGGAACGAATATCGCACTGGCCAGGTTTCCAGCTAGTGCTCCGATGAAATAAATCAAAGCGATCCGAAACGAGCCCGTTAGTTTCTCCAAGTCCCGCATTAGGAAGTATTGAACCAATAGCGTAATACACAGATGAAGAATTCTGTAATCAAAAGCATACAAACGAATCAATAAAACAGATTTTCTTCTGATCAAACTTTCCTCTTGAATCTTATTGATTTCTTTACAAATAAATAGGATAAAGAATCCATATACTGGATATGAAAGCTGTTAAAAAATTTCAACAAATTATTATTTAAATCTAATACTATCACTAGATGCTTATTTTTGTTCATTAAATCAATTTAATTATTATTACATCGAGTTTGAAATGTAACTATTCCTTAGTCTTAATTCTTAATTTATTTAGAAAGCTGTAATTTCAAATGTTACGAAGAGGATACCATATTCTAATTTATATAGCCTGGATTTTACAAATCATGAAAATTAATATTGTGTCCGGTATCTCGGTCCTTTATCCTACACGTTATGAACCTTACCCAGCATGAAGAAAAGTAGTTGTAAAGAGCCTGTAGAATTGATCCGGCCATTCTGGATGAAGAAACGGTATCATGCCGCAGACGTCGTGCAAACACTCGACCTGGGAACAAAGGGATGCTTCCTCGTGGAAATAACCGTGAACGAAATCGCAGTATTCTTTCGTGGTTATTCGGCACATCCCGTGGATACCGATGCAACATGGGTGCCCTATCACCTCGCACACCATGTGTTCTGCCATCTTATCTTTGTACCGACCGACCGGGAAGTTCACGTTGCCCCGTTGACTCCCGTTTCTACTGTTGATAAGGGTAAAACGTTTTCCTCGATATTAGGCTGCTCTTCCGGCTATGAAGGATAATCGCCGAGAGAAATGATGACTTATAACGATTTACCTGAACCGTTGGTTGAACGAATTAGTCTTCCGACAAATCGGCCATTTGGTGATGTCGTCCGGCCACTCGTACGGTGCTATGCTCGCCGGGGCGTCGCAAAACTTTGGATCCAATCCGCAAACCGATCCGCTTATTCGTCCGCCAGGTCCACTGTCACCGGGTCCCCATTTCTTCCACGTTGATATCGTGTTCTATGATTTTCGGAATGATGTTCGATTAAAATGAAACGTCTATCAACGACGGCATCGTGCAAAATTAAAATCGTAATCGATTAATTAAGAATATGAGGGATATTCCAGTGAAATTTACCGTAGCAGTTGATCTCAATCCCCGGACCAATTGGTTTGCAAAACAGAAGGTTATATTATAAACGTGGCACGAGGGATAAATCGTGAAGGATGCTTTTATCGATGTCAGGTTGGATATTTTCGAGGTGAATAAAATGAGAACTCACAGAGCAGTCGGCTTTGCTCGATTGAACGCAGCCCGAATCGTCGTTTCGGATGCAGCACGCCGTGTCCCGTTCTCTTTCCCGCCAAACGTCGATCTCCTTCAGAATTTTAATATCACGACGCATACACGGTGCAAACTTTGCGCCAAGATGAATCAAATCCGCCGCTCTAGGACCAAACCAGAAATTCGCTGGTTCCTGGTAGTCCACTTGTTGCAACGATAAGCTCGTCACAAGAACCTATCAAAGAGATTCCCTTATGATTATAGAAATCCATCTTTTTACAGGGTTACGTATATAGGTGACTTCTACATAGAGATTGATCCTTTTCCTATAAAAGTAAGAAATATATAAGGCCTTTTTTTAAACCTAGCACGGCGGACCATGGAGAGAATCTCAAGGCGGTGGATCGTCATATTTTTTTATTTCAAATAGAATTATATTTTATTATATTTGATATGGCGATGGAAAAATGGAAAGAAATATATTCTGCGCCAAATATTTTGAGAGAAAATATCGAAAGTATATTTAAAAGTGGTTAGATAGTGAATACAGAAAAGTTATTTAAACTTTGCGACAAGAATCAAGAAACGACTTACTCGTACCAAGAGTTTAGTTTCGACTGACTGACTGAAAACAAACAACATGACCTAGATTTGGATTGTCAGCTGATATTCAAAATAACCCGCTCACGCGTAAACAGACGCACGGCACAAACATGCGGATTGTAATTTCAAACCGTCTTTTCTAACAATGTTTTCTACTTTTTTAGGAAAAGGGTCAATACCTTTGTACGTTACCCAATTTTTTTTATAAACTCACCAATCCTGATCTGTGACTAAGATCCATGCCAACCGGTCCGAAACCGTAACACGCCAATGATATTATCAAAATGAGGATTTGTACGGTGGTGATCCAATACGTAAAGTACGGTCGATTATCTTCGAAGTCATCCAGCTGCTTTCTAACGTCCGGGTTCTGTGACACGCTTTTTCGAAAAGACCTACTGCAATCAGAAAATGCACGTTCTTTCCATCGATTTCGAAAGCAACGAAAGGAGAATAATAGATTTTTCACGGTAACCTTTCGACGGAAAGATTGCATCGTGAAATCGATAACTAAAATTACAATCACCGTTGGCATTTTTCAAATATCACCTTGCTACGGCAAGATTTGCGTCACGGTTCTTTTCATTTCTGACATTTCCCGCCTGTCCACGTTTGTTATTTGTGTTTCAGGTGTATCTCCAACTGGGTCGTGGCTACATAATAAAACCTTCACGCGATCGTTAAAGCGGAATGCAGGAGAGAGGAGGTTGTTTTAATAAAGCCACATTACCATCCCATCCATAGAACGTAGAAACTGGCGAAATGAAACAAACGTCGGAAAGACAAATTTTGTATAATACACAGCTTTTCCCCGAATGCCTTTTTTTTTCTCCTTCCAAGCCAGGAGAATTCAGGGAATTATGTATAATCGAAAGATAAATTGAAACGATTGTTTGTAACTCCTCTGCGATACTATTTTTGCCTTGCATATCTTTTTTCCCTATCGTTACCGATTCGTTTTCCTGTTCGAAATTCGTGCGATGACGAATTGTCGTCGGACGAGAAATTTTTACGAGCCACGACAAAAATATCAGCCAATAAAATTATTCATATGGAAATTCATTTATTGACCGCTCCAAAATCAATTTCTTCATCGACGTGGAACAACGGTCGCATCAATATACAATGACTGTCCGATATCTGATAAACGTGTACGCAGGATGCCAAAATAAACTGATAGGAAAACCGTGATTTTTCACTACACCTTTTTTTTTCTTGTTTTGTTTTTTACCAAACATATCCACATACAATGTTAATAACGACACGCATACTGTAGACGAATACAATAAAGCCGTACCGAAATTAAATAATTTGATTTATCCTGTGAAACATTTGCATTGTTGCGGGGATAAAATATTCCAATTAAACGTATATATTCAAACAAATCTGTATTATTATTATTATTTTATGAACCTAGAATAAAGATATTTATTTAAAAAATATCTGCAATCTCAAATATACCTGTACATGTGTGTTTTGGACACACGAAAAACGTATTAAAATTGGTAAAACTTTGGAGCGCCGCCATTTTGAAACTATTCGAGATATTTCAATAAATTTTATATTGTAAGAAAGTAGAAATCTTGCCCTTTAAAATGGTCTTTGATGCACGTAGATATGTCTTATGGTTCTCGAGATATCGTTGTTGGAAGGGAAAGGTATTTTTCGCTCGCGCTAGCGGACCTCTCACTCGCACTTTCATTCATAACCAATCGCAAGCGATCAATGAGCGAACGTCTTTACTATTACCACGCGTAGTATACGCACTTCCTGAAAAAAATGTAGGTCACCGCGTTCCCGCCAATTTCGTTCCATTCATAACTCCGTGCGTAAGTGCACCCTTACGAGATCTTTAAACTCTTATATCTCGAGAACCAAGCAAGATATCAATGTACAACAAATTGCGTTATCTTCAGCACACTTTCCTCTATATTATAAGCTATTTATTTATCATCTTTTCCGATAGAAGGAATTTTAGTAATTCAGTTTAATGAAATATTTGACGAAATATTCTATTGGAACTGTATCTATATTTAATATATGTTTGTAACCAATTTTAATGAAACTTTCTTACTCACCCTAAGAATCTGCCAACGATTCCCATCCCATATTGCCTCCTATTACTGTTGTCGAATATTCGATCGATGGTGCTCGGAGAAATTCTCGTACCACCGGTTAAATCCCTTCTAAGAGAGACCCCCTCGTCCTGCTGCACCCTAGTACCCTCGGCCAACGGGCTGTCGTACCTCGACCTGCTCCAACTCGTTTTTCTGTAATCTCTTTCTCGTTGTAAAACATGACATTTCGTACTCGATGTTGGATATAACATCTCATCCACCATCGAGTATCGAACGTAAACGATCATTTTGTAACCCGGAATATTTGGATTTTTACCTCGAAATGTAATGGTCCCTGGGGATGTGACGATGTCGTCTGATCTGTCCGTCGATTGCTGTCCTCTCGGCTTTCTGCGGAGCGAATCTAAAAAAAATCCCCGGAAAAATTCCCATGTATTCTCTGTGCGCGAAAGCAGATCCGCAAAGTCTCACCTGACCAATTCCTCGGACGTTTCACGCTCGGCCGTGGAATCGAGCTGATCCGCAATCTTCGCGCTGCCCTCTTCGTCTTTGACCAATGCACCGATGCTCGGATCGATCTGCGATTGAGATTGTTGCGAGGCTGGCGGTGGAAGAGGCGGAGGTGGCGGTGGTGGCCTGTCGAAAAACGACACCTCCTCTTCCTGGTTGTTCTCCGGAGACGATGCCGTCTCCGTCCTCGTCATATAGGGAATCACGCTCGGTGGAAAGCTTCGCGATTCGGGCCTGGTTTGCGACATCTCCCGGGATCGTTGTCTCGACAACGACTGCGACAAAATCACGTCGATTCGTCAACGTGTCTCGCGCGAAGATATATGTCGAAAATAGGTGGACAAAAGTGGAGCGTACTCTGTTCTAAAAAGCAATTATCGACGAAAATAATTGGGCATTTTATAAAAAAGGAATTTCAACAACGAGACTGCTATCCTGTCGATAAAATCCACGCGAATTTTCTCCTCATTTTACACGTTCCTCTTCGAAGCAAGGAAACAACGCGGAAAAGATTTTCCAGCCAGCAATTTAATCGCATTTGTTACACGCTCGCTCGATTAATCCTGGCTAACCGAAAAAAGGATCAACAGAGGGTGAGGAGGAGAGAGAGGGAAGAGAAGAGAATAATTTGTTATTTTCACGTTCGATCGAGCCGGACCGTAAAATCCGCTTGATTTTTTCACCTTCTAAACGAACGATATAATTGCACAGTCTGCTGTTCGAAGAAAAAAGAATGTATACATGTATCAATTATGCGGAGGATGGCTGTTGTATCGGATTTCATTTTTGAGCTCCGGTTAGGGTAGATTTTAATTGGAATAACGCTGCTCGATCGGCAATAATTCATATTAATTCGCGCACCTTGATAACCCCAGAGGTCCGTTCGCTAGCCTGCCCTCCCGATGATATTGGATTACACCGTTGATTCGTCATTAATATCGATCACTCTAGCGACACGTTTAACGAGTATTCGCTAGAAACGTTTGTTGTTTCGCGGTCGCGTAATTGAACAGAAATTTCCATACGTAATGTTACAGAAATGCCTGCGGAAAACTTTGAAACATTCCGAACGAACCGATGGAATTCCGATTACTTTCTTTTCTAAATTCCCATTGCAACCAATTTCGAGAGTATTTATCCCGTTAAAATTAGTCAGTATTTTAATAGCACAGACTGGAGCCGGTTAAAGCGTTACGGTGCAGTTAAAACGTGTCGCGAGGAGTTAAACCATGGTCGATCGAAGCGAGAAAGAAACGACATACTGTCACGACAGGTCGTTAACTTGAGGGGAAAGTAACGTCTTGAGACGTTTCACGTGTACACAGTTTACGGTGGGTAATTAAAATGGTTGGTTAAGAGGGCAAAGATAGAGATTCGTGCAAATGGTAATCGGTATGCAGCTATTTTCCCCGGCATTACCGTCCATCCTGCTTCGAATTAACACGAGAACATTAGTTACGTACCGGTCCTTCTATCGCGTGAATAATCGTACGTTTAATTGGGTTAAATAATTCCCGGGATCGTTATCGGCCAGCGTAAAATATCATTACGAAGCTTCCAATCAATTGATCGGTATGATATTGTTAACAGACGCGCGGGTACACGCGCTGTTTTAATATTAATGAATCACGAAATTAGCAAGCTATCATAGACACGCGTACCGTGGAACACTGCCAGAATACGTTTCTATTTCGAGGATGGAAATAGGTGCGACACAGATTAGCACGCGATTAATAAACGCTAGGAAAACATTATCGACAACCGATAATGCAGCCGAATATTTCTGATCACAGTTTTCTATCGAACGTTGTTTCCCATCGATTTTAATATTCCACTCTCCGCGGAGGATAAAATAAAGGAGAAAAGAAAGCAGAATTATGCAACGCCGACGATCGGAGAAGAGCGGTTGAATCAAGTCGAATGTAAAATCGAATGAAATTTAATTTCGTGCCCGACATGTCGGAATTAACATTCTCCATGTTTATTGCACCGTATCGAACCGATCTGATGGGATTTTATATTGTCGCGACTCCGATCGTTAATTGGCCGATCGGTTTGGTCCTTGCTGGCAATTAAGCAGTGTAGTATATATCGAAAGGGCCCGTGCAATGGAAAAATATCCCGCTTCGTTTATTATCTCCATTCGGCGACGAAAGCAAACATCTAACTCGATAAATTCTGGATAATAGTTTTAAGAAAAATCGATGCAGCGCGCATGGAAAATAAAGGAAAGAAAAGGGAGGGAAAAAAGGGGGTAGACGGTAAAAAAACACTCGGTCGAGCGTTATTCTTTTGTAGGTCACGCGTAAAATATTCTAATGGGCCTTTGTGCGCAGAAACGGCACACTTTCCTCGGCTAGAACAGTGAGACGAGGGTAACCGGTCGTTGTCCGGCTTGTTCTCAGCTAGTAGTCGAGCTAAGTGGCAAGTTTTGAAATACGCCCGGCAGTGGTAGTCCGTTGAAACTTTAGTAGACCAAACTTCCGGTGGACAACTGTTCGGTGCCGGCCAGGAAACGGGCTTCTCGTGTGCGTTTCCACTGTTTAGAACGAAGAAAGCTTACACTCCACCTCCGGCTGTTGTTCCCTCGCTAATATTTGAATTTTACCCCTGAACGTTAGCCGAAGACATCGTCGCAGTTGCATTTATACGCGGAAACTCCCGCGAGTCACGGGGAACATTAATACGAAACGTATGGGATAATTAATTTTCTTGAAACCAGCTTTCATTTTTCCTCGATTTTCTTCGCCCCGCTTCTTTCCACTTTTTAATAATTTCATAGACGTTTATTCAACGCCCGTGAAAAATAAGGGTTCGAAATTTAACGAAAAAATGGGTATAATTAAATTTCGGAGGGCGGACCATGGAGAGAGTCCCAAAAACGGCCCGGCGGACCACGGAGAGAGCCTCCTTTTTTAACATTTAAACGACAACTCGTCTTCTCCGATTTATGGGGTTAGGTTACAATTAGCTAACCAATTAGCGAGGTCTTCGGAAAGGCAGAAAATGAACCTTCAAAAGAGAAGAATTCATTTTTCGAGCTTTGAACAACCGCGCGCATCGACGAAACGTTGCTGCGCGAATGGAAGGTTCCTTTTCATTCTTTCTTTTTTCTTTTTCTTTTTCCCGGTGTAATTACCGTGTCACGTAGACGTTCCACGTGTACCGCGAAAATATCATGCTTTCAGCTCGTAACAAGGAAGGTAATTGCGTTCGAATCGATCCGGTTAGACAGTTCGATTTCCCCGTTGAACGTCGTCGACGCGTGCAACTCGTTACGAACGCGTCGTCGCCCCCTGTGTTTCGCAATAATGAAAGTATAAATATTCAGAAACTCGCGGCCGACCGGCTGGTTGACGTTCGAATCGATACACAATTCATTACGATATCTCTCGGTTGATCACCGGGAACGGCCGCGGGATGCGACGCACGTAAACGCGTAGACGCGCCGCGGAGATATCCGGCCGTGTCTATCGAGTCGCATGCACATGCATTTAAATTGCCGAAATTACGGTATCGGACTGAAAACGGAACACGAACGGACCATTGGGATCCTTACGGGAGACTGGAGAGGGGAAATATTCAAACGTTTTCAGCGATGCGTACCTGAACGCGTTGAAACGATCCTGGGAATCATTTAAATTTCATAACATATAAAAGTATCGGAATTATATTTGTCGTACGTCAAATTGAAGGTTAAAGTTTGGAGAAAATAACTGTGTAAAAATATCGAATCTAAGATTAGAGTTTGATGAAAATTATGGGAGAGAGAGAGAGAGAGAGAGATGAAAGAAGAGTTGGAAAAAAGGAGAAGTTTCTTTAATAACGCCGAGTTCTGATTAAGGTAACGCCGATGTTAGTTAATAACGGTTTTATCAGGTTTCCGCTAATAAATGACCCCATGCTCTCCTTATTACGTCGCGGCGAAACGATGTAAATTTTAATAAAAACCCTCGTGAACCTCGCTTTCTCGCTCGGTTCCAACAGGATCGCGTGCACGTGTTCCGTGTAAGTCGCGCGATACAATATGCTGACTGCTATTAATTCAGTGAAACGCACCAAGAACAGCCAGTTACCATGCTAATCGACCTTCTGATCTCAACCACTTAACCCCATAAATCGGAGAAGACGAGTTGTCGTTTAAATGTTAAAAAAGGAGGCTCTCTTCGTGGTCCATCGCGCCGTTTTTGGGACTCTCTCCATGGTCCGCCCTCCGAAATTTAATTATTACCTATCTTTTCGTTAAATTTCGAACCCTTATTTTTCACGGGCGTTGAATAAACGTCTATGAAATTATTAAAAAGTGGAAAGAAGCAGGGAAATTGGGTAAAATCGTCGAGCGAAGTTAGAAAATATCCGACGAGAGATAGTTAAAGAGGATATCAACAAAGGGGATACGTCTTTCGGCCGAGATGTCGATAGCAAATGTCGGCTATAAATTCCGTCCACGTGATTCCGTCGCTGTATAAATAAAAACGAATGGAGAAATACATAGAACGTTGGATCCTGTATATTTTCGTTATGCTACGCTCTCCTCTATGCATGCAGAAAAATGCGACACCGAGTTCGATACGAATGTACGCTTTTTCCTCGCGTTATTTTGTCATGTTAAAATACTACTTGGATAGCAACGTTATTGTTCCGACGATGAATATCGTCCTCCCATAAATCTGTTCACCGAATTTCATAATAATGTAAATAAAAGTACATTGTTAGCGAGAGAACGTTTCAAGGTATCTTCCCTTAATTAGCAAATTTTGTCATATTTTTACAATGGAAAAAATTGCCTATGAAAAATTAAGAAGAACTAAGAGAACCGATCCTCTTCCATAAATCTGTTCACCGAATTTCATAATAATGTAAATAAAAGTACATTGTTAGCGAGAGAACGTTTCAAGGTATCTTCCCTTAATTAGCAAATTTTGTCATATTTTTACAATGGAAAAAATTGCCAATGAAAAATTAAGAAGAACTAAGAGAACCGATCCTCTTCCATAAATCTGTTCACCGAATTTCATAATAATGTAAATAAAAGTACATTGTTAGCGAGAGAACGTTTCAAGGTATCTTCCCTTAATTAGCAAATTTTGTCATATTTTTACAATGGAAAAAATTGCCTAGAACTAAGAGAACCGATCCTCTTTCATAAATCCCTGGTAGAATGCAGTTGTATCTGGGTCACGCTAATTTTTCGACCTATTCCCCGATGCCTGAATGCTGCAGATTTATTTCCGGGAAAGTTGTGAAAGATGTCGGCTTAAGAAATAAATTTAAGGCACCGTTGGGTGCAGTAGGACGGCCGCGTAGCTTGCTTCGAGGAAAGTTTATTTCAAACTTCTCAAAAAAAAAAAAAAACAGCTGTTTTTTATTTCCCAACGCTCGTTTCGTAACCAGCACCTTTTTTCATCTATGCACCGCTGTTCCTCCTTCAATTTCCTTTTATCTCTAATAAAATGCTGCGCATCGAACGTATGAAAGACACGGTCGAATAACAGCAATAAAACAAATATATATCTATTTTTTATTGTAAGGTGTTTTAACAACTGGAAAAAAAATATCAAATTTTTCGCGAATTTAGAGCAAACAGTTTTCACCGTACGGTAACGAATTTTGTTTCAAACAAATTGCAAAATTTTTTTTCCAGCCTACCGCGAAAAGTGCTAATTAAACGTAACAATTTCCACAACAGCGGCATAGTATCGATCGTCGAGTATTAAAACAAATCTACTTTCCAGTTCTCCACCGATACAGACACGTGAATGAAATTTAACAATAGACCTAACTACGAACCGTGAACGTTTTACGAAGCGGTATTGTATAATTGAAAGCAAACACGGCCGAACGATCAATAGAGTAATTAAACTCCGAAATGAATAATTAGCTGCATGCCGCGTTACGAGCGTCTACGTGGAACACTTTTCAAATTTATGAAAAGGATGCTCGTTACGAGTTTGTTCGAACGAAACGATTTGTGAAAGGAATATAATTTTAACGAGAATAAATTTGAAAAATTCTGAAACTCTTAATGATTCTTCGATCGATAGAACAATTTTCGAAACGCAAGGAAACGGAAGGGTGAAAAGCGTTAACGAGTTTGTCTCGTCTCTATCGAGCACCTAATGAAATTTTTTTTCCCATAAAATGTTTGCGCATCAGTCTATATAGCCAGTGTTATGAGCAAGAACAAAGAACAGGTAATAAAGAGAGACACGTGAAGCTAGCGGATCGAAGGGAACAGACAGAATGCCGCTACAATGGAGGCATTCAAATACAGGAACAATAGGTGAATCCTGTCGGGAATCAATTTCCTCCGTAGCCGTCGAAATTACAACGGTGGATCTACATTTATTTAGTGTCACCACGAGCTAACACGGTCAAACAATAATCCAGTAATTATGCAAGGTTTCGTTTTATGCGAACCGTTCGTCGTTATTCCGGCAATATAAGCGGGAAATTGAAAAAAGGACATTTCTTTTACGGTGATCGAAATGGTAAAATAGAATCGTAGAAAGGAAAATAATTTCTTTGGTTTGCGATGATTCTCTGATAGGTACGTGTTACCCGGGCCGATAAAATATATTTGATTTATCCGAAAATCGAAACGAGAGGCTCGACGTAAAATATGTGCTTGAACGAGCAACGGGAAATCGCGCGCGACCGAACAAACGCTATATTCTCCTACGGCAATTATTGTTCCGCACGATCCAATTATAATTCCAATTTTCCTGATATTTGCGGTTAAACACGAACGGATCCCCGTAACACGTTCCACCGTCTCGACGACGTTTCATCGCACGAAAAATATCTACCGGATGAGATACCTTCGAGAAGGTGGCTCGTTGAAAATCATCCCTGATTTTGTTGGGATTTAAACACATCTCTCGATGAATTATGAAATTTCTAGGTTTAATAAATTTCTATTTCAACGATACATTCATTTATTTTGTATTATTAGAATACGAGATAACAGAAATTAGAATGGAAACAAATATATTTTTCTGCCTCGGACGGCGGACCATGGAGAGAGTTCCAATTTGTTATTTCATATTATTTTTACGATTGACCCAGGCTCAGACCTACAAAAACAATTTTATCCAGGGAGAGGCATCATTTACGTTCAAAATAATTCTACAACAACGTTCCTCTCGAATTATTCACGATTTCGTTAGACGGCGGACCATGGAGAGAGTCCCAAAACGGCGGACCACGGAGAAAGCTCCAATTTGTTATTTCATATTATTTTTACAATCAACCCGGGCTCAAGTTCGCAAAAACAATTTGATCCAGGGATAGGCATCATTTATTTTGAAAATACTTCTGAATTATTCACGATTTCGTTAGACGACGGACCATGGAGAGAGTCCCCAAAACGGCGAACCAGAGTCCCAATTTATTTCATATTATGTTTACAATCCCGGGTTTAAATCTACGAAAACAATTTTATCCATGAAGAGGCATCATTTAATTTAATAAAAGACCTCTATTAATGACGTTCCTCTCGGATCATTCACGATCTCGCGGCTTTCATCGAATCCATTTGAGCGTCGACAGGTACGATGGAAAAGGGAACAAAAACTTCCGCCCGATGAAACGCACTTTCTTCTCCATCGCAGAGCACCTACGCGTCCGATCCCCGTTCACCGGGATCCATTATAGAATTTACATAGCATGCATTTAAATAAAGGTGAATCACCTGGTTATCGGGGCCGGAGATAAGATCGTGGAGCCCTGCCGAGAGGCCGGATCCACGATCGAGCCTCCGTTTTAACCGGCCGGAAATCCGCGCTTAATGGCCCGTGATACCTGAGGAATTCTGTTAAATGCACGCGGATATTCACCGGCTAAACGAACCAGATGAAACGCCTCTTCTTTTTCTATCCGATGCGCGAGTAGGATTATTGTGGATGAGGGAAAATTTATCAGGATAAAAATTGGACTGTTTCTTCGTTAAGCTCGTTAGCAAATTAATTTAGAAACGTAGAAGAAACAGCGATCGATTTTGATCGCGTTCGACGATTCTGCTCGCTGAGAATAACAGCGAACGAAAGCGGAAAGAAGATTCAACCGAGAGAAAAGTGTCAAAGTGGGTTTACACGGTGCGTCGTTGTCTCTCGTTTAAATCTACTTTCTTTGCCGGCTCGTTCTTGACAAACTTCTCTTTGTCGTTCGTACACAGAAAGCTTGTGCTCGCAGCTCGATGCAAAGCGACAGAAGTGTCATTCTATCTAGCAAGTCAGACGGTAGAGTCGTTTCTACCTGAATAACGGTCTTGAAAACGAAACAAAGTGTCTTCGAGTTAACGCCGTTCGCTGTGCTTTTCTCCATCCGACGATTAAATAATCTTTCGCAAACTCTGATTTTAAGAGAATTTGTAAAAATAAAGTTGACGGTGTCCGCCGGAAGCTGGTCTCTTCGCATCTCCGCGTTGGGCAATGGAATTCGAAACGAAGTCGAAAAGCTAATTAAAAAGGAAGAAGTTCTGCGCGGATGAAAATCAACGAGAATACCGACGGAGAAGTTATGGTAAACGGGATTGTTTCATTCAATAAAAATTTGCGTACTTTCCACGCGGTGGTAATAAAAGCGAATATCCTCGATAAAATTTTCTATCAATTAAACGAAACTGAACGTTAGTTTATAATCGAAAATCGTCCGAACGATGTTTTTAACTCTTCCAGTCCCGTTCGACTAATTTCTGTTAATTAAAAAACTTTCGACTGCCAGCAAGTCTGTTAAAACGTTCGACTTCATAATTCGATTACACCGATTAAACGTTCGTTACAGCGAAACGGGTGAGTTTTCAAGAATAAGAAATAAATTTTTTATTTAAGAATGAAAATTTCTAAAGGAAGCTAATTAATTGTGAGAAGATTGCGGGTTTGAAATTTCGCAAAATTCCTAATCAACGGGGACTGGCGTATCGGTAATTAACGCAGCTTCGAAATTACTAAGCTAGAGGGAGGGGGAGCAACTTTGCCAGATATCAAAGGCAATTCGACGATGAACGGATTCCGGAACGGGTTACCGCAACCTCGTTAGCTTAATGATCGTACAGACTTCCGTCGAAACGTACAACTTAACTCGAAGGAAACTTAGCCTCGTTTCGCGGCCGAGCAGTGCGTCTCTCGGCGATAACGAAACGCTGATTAACTCCTTACTCGTTTACCTTGATTCCCATCGGTAATAACAGGAAACGAGACACCCTTCGAGCTCGATGTACCGTTTCCTTTTCAATTAATCCAGTGAATTCTTTGAACTTACCTCGACCACGTAATGGAGACCCGAGAGAGTCATTCTTGCCACGGAATCTTTTCGTCTGACCGGTTGCTGCCATCTTCTCAATGTGACACCCTGTAGAAATAAAACCCTCTTCGTTAATTAAAGTTTCGTCATTCCAATCAGACAGACTGGAAGCATATTTTATTCCAAATTGCAGAAGTTGGTGTGTCTGAACTTTTGATGCGCGGACCATGGAGAGAGGCACAATCTTAATTTTCTATTTCACTTCATCGAAAGAAAAGCTAGAGATTCTCGAGAAATTTTTCCTAATCTCAACTAAATAGACACGCCAGAAGCATTGTATATCGCAAAAATTGAGATTAAGTGTATTTTTCTACAGATTATAGAAATTGATGAAGTGCGGAGCGCGCTTAATCATCTAATTTAATTACCTAATTAAATATTAGATAATTTAATCTAATCTTTTAAATTATCGACAGAAAGGCGAGAACGTATCCGTTCTCCATGTTTTCATAGTGAAACACTCCCAAACGGGAGGTTAATAACCAAGAAACTTACTTCTGGTATATCCGTAGTATCCGGCACGTCCCTTGTAATATCGGGATCCGGTGGCCTGTGTTCCGGAACAAGGGCGCCGTATTTCCTCGATGCCATTCTCCGTCTTCGATCCAGCCATCTTTGTCTTTCTATCGCTTCAGACTCCTCGTCCACCCCGAAGAACTGTGCCGTTTCTCGCCTGATGTAGCTGAAACAGAAAACAAAGCATCGTTCGAGTTACTCGCTCGACGGAATATTCTCTCCGCCTTCTCGTACCTTTTTCCCCCATGAAACACAAATGGAGAGGAAAGACTTTCATCGAATTGAATTCGATAGAAAGGTGTGTACCTTTCGTACACAGTTTTTTAACTTACTTCCTGATGGCCTCCGTGCGACTCATGGTCCTCCTCAATCTTGGCTTCTGGGACGATCCAACAGCGCTGGCAGAGCTGGTCACCTGAACAACGGGTCTCGGTGCAGTGGGTGCCGACACGCTCCTGGTGATGTTGCTTCCCGTTGCTGCACCAACAACGGTGCAAGCACTCGCCAATGGTATCGTGGTGGTTGTTGTATTCGGTGGAACGGTCGTTGGGTCCGTTGGTGTTGGACCCACGCTACCAACAGGGTACAAACCGATACTTTGCCCATTTTCTGCATCAGGACCGCTCGAGGATACCGTGGACGTGCCTGTCGTTCCAGATCCTGGAGATGGTTGCCTGTGACATTAATGAAAATCCATCGTTAATTAAAAGAATCGTGAAGAATTTCAAGTTTCTCCAGTGAATACGGATAATTGTAATTCATCAAGGGTTCGTTGAAAAATGATTGAAAAAAATCTGAAAGTAGACACTAAAAAGACCCTTTCTTTCTTTGTGGTCAGATCGGAAATCACGGAGCGTTTCCGTGCTTGAATGTGCATGCTTATAAAGACGGCGACGTAATCCCGGCATCGCCAAAGAGGAAGTATAAGCCCTGTCCAGCGAGAGGAAGCTGGCCGAAAGTGACGACCCGTAGCCACCCTCTGTACAGGATCCCCTATGAAACTTTTTCAATTTTATCTGCCTCTCATCTATTCATGACTCGCTGCTGCTTTCGTGTCCCGACATTCTTTTAAGGGATTTTCTTGTACGGACGAGCTCCTAGAAACAATCGAGAGCACGCTGCTACCGGATGCCTGATAAGTGTGACTTCCCGTGAAACGTTTAAAAAGGGAGGGCACGAAATTTCCAAAGTTTCTCTTGAAGAGAAAATTCCCAAATTTCTTTTTTCGAAAAACTGATTGCCTTCGCGAGGGAATGTTTCGAAGAGCGAAGTTATAGGTGTTTCGAGACGAATATTGCAACGGTAGACGCGATTTCCAGCTGGTTCTCACAGATGCATTTCACGTGCACGAGTGTTGGAAGGAAAAAAAAGCGATAGACAGAGGTATAATTGTGTCCCGTGACAATAAAACTCTAATATCCGGCCGTGGAAACGAGGCGAGCGCGATGCACGGCTTACTTTTCCCGATGCGAATGTGGGACGTACGAATAGGGAGCAGAAAGCGGAAGGAAATTGGTGGTTGGTCGTTGAGTTTCCCGGCAAATTCCCTTCTCTGTCGATGAAAAAAAAATGTGCACTGCAGTGTTTGTTCGCGCTTAAAATTTTTCTAGCATTCCTGCTAATTTTCTTTTCAATAGGAAAATCAAAGTTTCGAAAGGAAATTCATTTTATCTAAACAAGACACGTTGAATTATTAGTTTTACAGATATTGATTAATTAAAAAAAAAATGGCGATAATCCCCCTCCTTTTATAGTTCTCCCCGGGATCCCATTCTACCCCGTCGGTGGTCACGGGGAGACTGACGAGTGGAGGGGATAGGACCCTCTATATATAGGTCTGTGACGGACCACCATTCAGGTACTAGCGTTTACGCGGGAAAATTTGAATTGATATTTATATTATCATTTATATTTCTTAATAAATGATCGGATCTTTTCCATATTATTTTTTGCTAGAAAAGTAACAAAATTGCAACTGATTATTTAATTTCTAAAGGTTGTTTCAATGCACGCACAATATTTGAAGTTCTGCTGCACACGTCGTTTCACCGCGCCCTTTTCTGATAAATTTTATATTAAAACAGCAACTACCGCGCTACCTTTTCAATTTGCATACATATTGAAATGGATATTCACGTACTGAGAATTTATCGGTAGGACGTAATAATTCCTGCTGTTCTTCGCGTTCTTCCGATTACCATTGTGTTACTTGAAAAGCAAGAATCTCTAATTACATCGGATATTAATTAATGAAACATGATTCGAAATGGTTTTTCCTTCGATCCGTCGCGGCGAACTTGTCGTTCTTGGTTAATTAAATAGTAACTATAAACTCGGTATAAAATATGATAACGATGATGATAATTAGCTCGAGTAATTTTAAACTTGAACAAGGACGAATCTGATCCTTACCGATTCGATTAAACAAAATTCACGTTTTAAAGGAAACTTCGAAGAAACGAAGCACCGTACGATCGAGAGGTATTAATAATAATTGAAATGCCGGTGTACAATTGATTCGAATAGTTTGAACGCGAACAGTAACGGGTTTCATGATAAACTAGCCGCTAACTGCGCTGCTGGAAATGAGCATCGAGGTATCTGCATTTAATTTCCGGTACGCGGGACCATAACGAAACGAGTTCTGACGTTGGTTCCTGTTTGTCTCGCGACACCTCGACGTATTTATGTCGAAACTTAGACCGTGTATTCGTGTTTCCAGTCGGAACATTCGACACCGTGACCCACCGAAAGCGTTATTTTTCAGCGAACCGAAACGCTGCTGCCGGGACGAAACAAGTTCTTGTTTCGATAAAACTACCCCGACACGTTTGGACGCGAAGAGGAACAGTTTTATTGTCTTCGAGCGTTTCGTCTTTTGCAAAGATTCCTTTTATGCCGAAGGGGTCAGCGACGACTATTTACACCGTAAATTCTTGATCAATGGAAAAATTCATCTGCCGGCTTATGGTCCGCGTCGATCGCGCAGGCGAGTCGAGCTCGAGCTAAAAAATAAATAGGAAGAAAAGCGACAAGTGGGTCAAGTTGGCGCAAAGTGCAGTCATTGTTACACGAGGGAACGGCCAAAGCTCACGAAATAAGTGTCTTTAGAATTCCTGCCGACCGGAATCGCGGAAAAAAATGTAACTGGAGCAGCTTTTTACTTTATTTTCCAGCGCGATCATTAGACCAATTAAGGAATCTCGCGAATGAAAAGAGAGAGGGTGAACGAGAAAGAAATTCCACCCTCGCTACTATCGCTTAGAAAATTTATTTACAATTTTTATGTTCCTCCTAAGTGTCGATAAGGTTTGCATAGAGTATAGATAAACGGAATATTACTATACACCCTTTAAAATATGAGAATATTAATAAAAAATGGCGATGACCCCCTTTTCTATAAGATTCCTCCGGGTGCCTATCCTACCCCGTCGGTGGCCACGGGAAGAATGACGATGGAGGGGAGAGCGCTCCCTATATATAGGCCTATGGCGGACCTCCATTTCCCTATTAGCATTTACGCGGGAAAATTTGAATTCATATTTACATTATCATTACTTTGACCCATCAAATATTATTTCTTGCTAGAAAATTGGCAAAATTACAACAGAAAATTCATTTACAATCTTTATGTTCCTCTTAACTATCAATAAAATTTGCATAAAGTATAGATAAACGGAATATTACTATACACCCTTCGAAATATGAGAATATTAATAAAAAATGGCGATGATCCCATTTTCTATAAGATTCCTCAGGTCACGGGAAGAATGACGATGGAGGGGAGAGCGCTCCCTATATATAGGCCTATGGCGGACCTCCATTTCCTATTAACATTTACGCGGGAAAATTTGAATTCATATTTACATTATCATTACTTTGACCCATCAAATATTATTTCTTGCTAGAAAATTGACAAAATTGAAACAGAAAATTTATTTACAATCTTTATGTTCCACTTAACTGTCGATAAAATTTGCTTAAAACATAGGTAAACGGGAGATTACTATACGCCCTTAGAAACACGAGAATGTTTCTCTACAGCGTATCACGGTAAATATCGTAAAAGCCGGGGAGAAGAGGAAAATAACACGATCACACATTTTCCAGGATACTAAAGCGAAAATGAGAAATATTATTCGCCCCTTCTCACCGGTGAGATCGAGTTACCGCGACAGGGCGCGGCGACGCAGGGTGACTAGGCCATTATTACTCCACTTTTTCAGGGAGCATTTGCTCGTGAAACTGGCATTTTTCACAGGATGACCCTTCAGAACCACCATCGAGGAACGAGTGGGGAAATCTCGCGCTCAGCCACCCTCGAAAGAAAATCCTTCTAATTATTGTAACCGGCTAACCGAGACGGTCCACGTGTTTAGAAGCCTCTCACGGCCGGTAATTAGAAGTTTCATAATTACTCTACTCGAAAGAATTATTCGTGCTCCCGTTTTCCCGTTGACAAAGAACGATTTTCATTTCCATTCCTCGCGAAACAAACCCGGATCGGCGCGTGTTTTACAAACGAATAACGATCGCGAAACTGCAAACCCGTCCGTCTCGACTTTCACGTCACGAAGCGAGACGACGAAACGTGTTCCACGTTGCCGTTCAATTTTCCGACGGTTCTTTGTGAGAAATTTCGCAATCCGCGTATATGCGCTGACCAAAGAAGCGTAAAAAAAAAGAGAAGAAAACAGAAGGGAGAATATTAAACCAGACCGTTCGCTCGTTTTTAACGAACACGAACTGGCGGCTATTTTTATTGCGTAACAGTTTGAGAGAAGAGATTTCTGCGACGCGGAAATGTATTTCCACGGTTGTATGGAAAGTTAAAAGGAGAAAAAAGAAGAAGATTTTCCGCGTAATATGAACTTACAATGCCGCTATTGTTTCGCGTTACAACGGCACTGCTGGAAAAACAAACGTTCTTCCGTTTTAAGAAGATGGAACTCCCTTAATCGACCGCCAAGAATTTTCCTTAATTTCCATGCAATTTCCGTGGCCCTTTTTATCCCTTTCATTATTCTCCGTTTTTGTTTTTTTTTTAAATACCAACGTCTAAACGAATGCTACCTTTTGTATCAAGAAACAGGGAACGAAAGAATACTTTTGAAATGTTTCATTCGTTTCGTAGTTTCGTGTTTGATGTAGCTCACGTCCCTTGATAATAACGCTCCTCTAATAGCGACATTAAAACTGTAGACGTGCAGTTATGGTAGATTAACGCGTATACGACTTTTTATCCCACTCGGTAAGGGTAATAGTGCATTTACGTCATGCGATTCCGCTGACGTTATTCTACGCAATGCGGTTGTTCTTCCTGATATTATTTTAATAAATAAATTCGAGAAACGTTCGATTCGGAAAAATAGAAATTTCGAAAATTCATGTTGCCTTTCTCGAAACAATTTATTACCAACGAAACGTTCCAAGTGTAATACCTCCATCTGTTTTATAACACATTTTACAACGCAAGATTGCCAACGGTAGGGTGAAAGTAGGGAATACCGGTGAAATGGATCGTCATTTCACGGAGGACTTTTTTCCTCCGGCATTTTCACGGATTTCTCCGATGATTTAGTCAGCTGGCCAACGTGTTCGCGAAGTGGTACTGATTAAGTGGCGCCCCGTTTGGGGGTGGTACTTGAATAACGAACATAATCATTAGTAACAG